GTAAATTGGAATAATCTTGCGCGCATGCTGTAGCTGTGTCTCTTCTTTCCAGTTCCATCAAAATTTAAGCTTACGAAATGATTTTACATCGACGCCACGCCAACGAAAATTGGCCCCGCCATTAGCTGGGATTTCGATTTCAATTTGAATTTGCAATTTGAGCGTATCTTTTGGGATGTTATTTATTTGAACTTTTGTGTGTGTTTGGGTTTTACGAGGCCCAGAGCCCAGAGCCCAAGGGATCCATCGCACAGATCTCGGACCAGATCTGGAGATGGCCTGGGCCTTAGCTGGTGATGTGATGTGATGACTCTATCAGCGGTCGCCGATCAAATGTGTTTGCCCCATTGTTGTTTTGCCACATTTCTCACCTTCAGGCTTCAGGCCCCCGTTGATGGCTATTTATTTTTTCGGGGCGATGAGATGTTGCGCCTTGACGCGCTGTCGGCAGAAATAAATTTTAGTTTTTATTGAGAGATTTACAGCGCCAGTGCCAGCACAGTGCCAGCAGATCGTTTGACATCGGCCTGGGTCACCTAAGCCGTTCAACTATTTGAAGATTTTACGCAGATTTTGTTTCATAATCAAATAATTGATCTTAATGCGGCATCAAATGAGCTCTCTCGCGGGCTGGGGGAGCTTTAAATATATTTTATTTCGTTGCCAAGTCTCCCCACCATTCCCCACCATTCTGCCATCCCCATCCGCATTTGTGGCAACTGGAAACGTGTCTCTCTCTCTGTCAGCTGCTGAGCTTTTGATCCAATCAAACTTGAAACGAATTGCGCTTCAATGTTGCCTGCCAGCCGACGACACAGGGGAACACCGGAGGGGCACAGGCACCGGGCACCGGGCACCGGCACACAATGCTCTGTGTTTTAGCACCTCCAATGCGGCGGAGTGCGACGGACCCAGCAGAGACATTCGCGTGGAGTGTGGTTTTTATTTCGGCAAACTAGTTTCCGCAATAATTCGCCGAATTTGAAACGTTTCTGCGGCTCGGACTCTCGCGGCAATCTATCAAAAATTTTGTCTGACTCGAAGAAATGTTGGGATTAAGTGGAGAAAAGGGTGCCCAAAGGCGGCAATAAAAGCTCACGTGCCATAAAAAAAAAATGCTGGTTGAGCGGGGGAATGGTGGAAGAGGGATTGATTTTGATTGCAGGATGATTCAATCGAAAATCACTCAAAGATTGATGGAGGCTTTCAGGCTGTGGCTCGCATTTCGAATCCAGATACGAGTATCTCTAACTTTTAGTTGCTCCTCTAAGCAATCCACCCCCAATCCTTATCTCTGCTCCATCTGCCCGATTGTGAGCTCAATGAATTGTGAGTGATTGATTTTCCTCGCACAAAAGTTGACCTCCAGACTGGAGCGGCGTATCAATCAAAATTTGACCAGAAATAAATGATATTTTGTGCCATTTTTTGGCTCATTCCTTGTCTGTGTGTGTGTGTGCCAGTTTTCGTTTTCATTTGCATGAATTGGCAAAAGCCAAAAGCCAGCCAGCCAGCCAGCCCCAAAAATACAAAAAAAAAAAGACCAAAAAAGAAATATGGCAAAGACTTGCAAATAAAATCTTTGTGGCATTGTGATTGAGGAAACAGAAAATTGAACGAGGGATTTGCATAGGAATCGATCGATAGAAACGATAGATACGATGGATGGTTGGATCGATGGATGGATGAACTGACTGGCTGGATCTCCCACTGTGCACTGTGGCCGGGTCTTAATGAGATTTTTGCAAAAGTGTTTTCATGGCTTACTCCAGTTATTATCTAACTTTTGCCCCCCGCCCCAAACTATTGTCTGTGGGCCCCCGGTGTAATTGGCATTTCGGTGTCTAGTGCCTGCCTGGTGGGGCTGCCACACTCTTGAACTCATTTTTCGAAATGGAAAGTCAACTATTGACATGAACATTTCTCGTAATTATCTTATCGCAGCGCCATTATTTGGCCTTTTCTATCTAATTTGCCACACAGTTTTCAGTTTTTTGTTTTATTGGTCGACAATGAACAGACAATTGTATCTGTTGTGTATCTGCCAGATACTGCCTATCGGGCGGGCTGCAATTCTTGTTAAAAATTTTTCAGCAACGATTGCCACTTTGAAGGCGGCCGCCGTCTTTTGTGAGTGTGTGTGTGTGTGGATTTCGTGAATGCAAATACGACGAGTATTTTCTCTATTGATTTAGATACGGAATAACCCATATATAAAATATATATATTTATACATATTTAGTAGATTTTTTTGTGTATTTTTTTATTTTTTATTGACAAATCACTCTTTTGACTGCCAGGTTTCGTTTAGTAAAGTAATTTGCATAAATCTTTGCCCCGTGCTGACAGTGGAGTCAGCTCCATTGCCCCTCCCTCCCGCCCCACACTCTTGTTCTTGGCAAAACTTATGAGTTATCTGATTTTTATCTATACTTAATTATTTACGATTGAAGCACAATGGTCTCAGGGCCATTAATCAGTGCAGTGCACAGTGCCCCCCAGTTTTCGAGTGCAGTGACTACGTGCTTGATTAGCTACATTATTCACCCGATATGGGGTATATCTATAGGATATACATACATATATGTATGTATGATATGTGTTTTGTACCCACTCATTGCTTTTGCTAATTCCTTGTAAATGGATCGTAAACTAATTCTCGTTCGCTAAATGCCATAAAAGATGAAAGTTTTTTCGTCATAATCGGTGTGAATCGTGGGAATTACCGTGTCATATCTACTACGAGTACTCATCAGTATCAGTGTGTGTGTGTGTGTGTGTGTGTGTGTGTGTGGTAAATCAGTGGACAAAACGGAAGAAGTGCCGCCCGCACTGCTGCACCCCCCTCGAACTCTGCACTCGTCGACTCCAATCTTTCACTCTGCCATGCAGACAGAGAGACAAAGAGACAGACAGTCGGAGAGGCAACAGCGCTTTGTACTTTTGCGACTGTCTGTAAATATTTGACAACACATGCCTAATTAGTGCAGCTATTGAGTGTTGGATGGTGGAGCACAGAACACAGAAAACAACAACAACAACCAACAACCAACAGAGGGACAGACGAACGACACTTGTCGAACAAGAAGGAAGGGATTGAGTGGTGGATGGGGGGGTGGCGGGTGGTCTCCGCTCTTTTACGACACTTTGTGTGTTTCCTGAGAAGTGCCAATGTCGTGGGTTCTTTTTCAGAGAGTGCTCTGCTCTTATCTCTCCAAGGAAGGAAGCACTTAAGTTCGTTGTGGCGTTTTTGTTGAGTAAGGCCATAGTTCGGCCCGAGAACTTATCAATGGAGAGGTGTAAGACTGGAAGTCTACTAGAGCTAACAAATAGATAAAGCACAAGGGGGGAAATGTTTGCCAGCAATTGGCCAGAGAATGAGCAAAAGGAATGCTCTCTAATAAGCATTTAAAGATGAAATCTATAGCTTTGACTTGCATTCACTTGCTCCTATGAATATCCTTATTTCCCTATGGATAGATCGCTTTGTCATTATAAACCCTGCCATTCCAAGGTCTTAGACATTGAACTGCAACGTCTGTTGCGTTGACATTTACCCACTTATTAATAGGCAGGATAAATATTCCATGGAAAGCAGCATTACTCATACGCACAGAAACATATTTATAGACACTGCGCGACACACACTCCACCCCAGCGATGCCACACAGGCTGTAGTTGTGGCTTTCTGGGGGTTTCTGGGGGTTCTAAGGGTATGAAGAAGGCACCTCATCAGACGGCAGACGGCAGAAGGCAGACGGCAGAAGGCCAGCACTTGGCACATTGGCAAAGTGTTGTGGGCAAATATTGACGCGGAGCTTCGCAAGTGAGCGCGAGTCAAACAATGAAACAAACACAACACACACACAACACAACACACACACACACATAAGAGCAGGAACAGGCTGGCAAACATTTGCCCCGAAAGCAAGGAGAGAGAGGGAGAGGTAGGGAGAGCCAGAGATCGCTACAATTTCCTTGCGGAACGCGTGAAAAGTGCGGCCAAACGTTCGACGCCCCTCAGACGGTGTTTGGTGCTCTGGGGCTCTTCTCCGGGGAACCAGTTCAAACGATCGGACCGACGCGCTGTTTAAGAACGGCTTAAAGAACGTCGGACTGCATCGACTGGGCGCTGCAGGTGATAACGAGATTTACAAATCGATTGCCGCGTTGACAAACACACACACACACGAATATATGTGACAGGGAGAAGGAAGAACCGGAGGGACGGGAGGGACGCCTGAGAAGGTGCTAATCCGTGTGAAAATACTCGCGGATACGGGACTCAAGTGCAGTCAGGCAGCGGCCTCCGCCTGCGCCTCCGCCTGCTGTCGATCGCCACAGATACTTGTGGTATCAATCCAACCGAACGATAATCAAGCTAATTTGTTTTTCCAGTTTTATTGTAATTTGCGATTGCCGCGTGCGGGGTTTTTATTTATGCTCGTAATATCTGCCAGCCGGAGACTGCAGCGCCGCCGATTGAAATTAAGGCACAAATCAGGCACAAAAATCTGGCCCAGGGCAAGATTTGCATTTTGATAAGCGGAAGTTACTCGCAGTTACTCGTAAAGGTGTTTGGTTTTTGTTGTTGCTGTTGTTGCTGTTGTTGGGGGCCTTGTATTTTGTCTTATTGCTTGTCAAATTTGGCTAAAATTAATTTGCCATAAAATCTGTTTAATTAACGTACTTTGCTGATAATTATGGGTAGTAATTGCTTACGAGATTCGTTTTGTTTTGTTTTGGGGGGAAGAAAGAAACAAGTGCTAAGAGGATTTGTTGATTGGCAGGGAAGGAATCTTCCACCTGAACCTTTTTTTTCCTGAATGCACGGGGGAAGTTGATTGATCTGCGAGTTCTATAAATATTATTCACTAGCTTGGTTCTCTTTTTAAGCTGCAGTTCCTTTGATCAGAGTGATTCTTCGAGCATTCCCATGGAATTTCTATGCAGATTTGACCCACTTACTACGACTAGTACTGCCAGGGGACGGAACTCACCTGCATCACCCAGTAGTTATTGTTGGCCGCAAATTGGTCACCGATTATGATATCCGTATGCATTTAGGCGGAGTTTATTTGCATCCAGGGGCTCCGTACGAGGAAAGGATGGACAGGACGACACCACACACCTCACACACACACAGAGACGGAGAGCGGTGTCTGCTGCGGCTGCTGCGGCTGCTGCTTTTACTTAAATTTAACTGAATAATTTGTTGAATTTTGGTTGATTTGCGGGTAATTAAGGCAGCGGCGTTTCCCTGACTCACGACGAGTCACGACGACGACGACGACGACGACCAGTTCAAGGCACAATGATTAATCAAATTTTGCAGGCGCTTTCGGGAATTTATTTCCGAATTATTATTGAATATTATTGAATACTTTTGTATGTTGGCATGGCACTTGGGCGGCAGGAGGCATTGCTGCACGTTTTGCGTATTATTTAATAATAATAATAATAATATTTTAATTTAAATAATTTGCAAGGATATGCAAATGAAGGCACACTCGATCACTTTCTTCCTCGTTGGGGTTTTATGGGCTTGGGGGCTTGGGGGGCAGGCACTTTTGTTTGCACAACTCCTTTTTTTTTTAATTTATTTTGTTGAGAGAGAGAACATTAAGTATCATTTAGCTTTTTGTTTTGCGGAATCCTTTACGACGAATCGGATGGCACGAATGACACGCGTAATGCCACGCAAAAAAGGTGATAAAAGCCGCCGGCTTTCCACTTCCGCATACGTTTTCAGAGACGAGGCGATGGCGCGCGTTCTCCACTGCGGCTGGACGGATGATTATTTGCAGCCTGTGGCTTTTGTTATCGTCTGCCGTTGCAATTGATGGGCTATAAACTATTTGCATCGAGTATTCGACTATTTATCGTACTGTTTTTTGGGGCAGCACTTCTTGGTCAAGAGAACGGCGACTCTGACTGTGGCTCTGACTGTGGCTCTGACTCTGAGACTCCGGCTAACGGCAGTCGTGAGTGAGTGATGAGAGGAGGTTTACTCGCGCGCTGTCGGTCGTCTGGGGAAGTCGTCACTTCGCTGGCGGGAACCGAGTTCGTACTGATTGGACGAGCGAGGGTTTTGCGCAGAAGAACCTCGGCCGCCAGTCGCGCGCGCTACAACGCTCTGCTTGGATAGCCCTCCCCTGCCTGGCTCACTCCACTCCCTCTCCCACACACCATCTCTCTCGTTCTCTCTCTCTCTCTCTCTCTGGAGCGAGCGCCGGCGACCAGGTGTGCTCCCCAGACCCAGCCACAGTCCACACAGGCCTGCCATGTGGGTGAGAGCAGCTTACGCTTACGCTCTCCCTCGCTCGCTGTCTCTTTGCTGCCGCTCTCTCAGGTGATCGGCAACTCGTTCTCTCTCTCTCTTATACAGTGCCGCGCTCAGGTGGGCAAGCAGCTGATCTTATTGGAGGTATAAGAGTATAAGAGCAGGCGATGGATTTTAATTGAATGAACTGCTGGGATTCGCCATTTTAGATTCAGTCTCTAGCGGTAGGAGGGGATGTACTATAGGCAGTTAGATGAAGGAAAATACATACATCCATGGATAATATATACCTTAGAGCTTTAGGTAGGTAGAACTCCCCCGGAAACCTAATCAACTTCCAGCAAAAGTTAGGGCCTTCCCCTTGGCTTCGGGGATCATTAATTCTGACACATTTCGAATGAAGTTTCCCTCTTCCATTTTCCATCACGCAAACATCAAACAGACCTCCAGCTGTGGCCACCGCAAAATAAAACATAATTAAACGAAATTAAAGCATACATTTGGACAGTTTATGGGCAGTCTTTGGGCGGGAAATCAATACGAGGACAATTAAAACATATCTGTATGTGCAGGATCTGCAGGGGGACATCTGCATATTCGTAAGCCGCAAAAGTGCGGTTGCCAGGTGGAAAGCAGTTTTCCCTCCCCAAGGGGCATGGGATATACATACATACATACATATGTATGTATGTATGTAGGTTTCCGCTGAATGTTTCTGGCCAATGTTGGCCATAAAATTGCCCCAACGCACGCCACACATAAAAGCCATTTTCATTTTGGCCTCCAGGTGGTGCAGAGCCATCCCCCAAAGCCTCCCCCCACCACCAACCAACCACTGGAGCCATTAAGGTCGAAAGCTTATGTTGGCCCAAAAGCGAGCGGGGGGGGGATGTTATTCCATGGAATAGCATGGGGCAGAGGTAGAGCAGTACGGGGGGAGCTGCACGCAAACGTCGCTTTGTCTGGGGCTGCAAACATGAGTGGTGTGTGGTGTGCGGTGCATGCAGCGGGGCAAGGGGGAGAACAGATAAAATAGAGGTGTGGCCTCGCCGAAAGCAGCGCAGACGCCGAGGCCAGCCAATCCGCAGCCAAGATAGAGCGAGAGAGCGCACACAGACAGAGCAAGAGAGAGAAAGATGGTGAGAGAGAGAGAGAGAGAGAGAGAGAGAGAGAGCTGCAGCACACGCAGGTGAAGTAGCAAAAACAGCAAACAAAAAGAAACATTAACCAGCGGCAGCTAGATACAAATGTATCTACATATGTAAGCATTGTATGGGTGTGTGTGTGTGTTGGTTATGCACACAGATACACAGACACACACACACACACACACATTCCAGTCTATTGATAATTGACTGGCGTCCGTCTGTTCTGCTACGGAGTATTTGCTCCGTGCAAATTTGCCATTAATGCCAAAGCAGACAGATACACAGCCATAGATACAGATAGAGATAGAGATACCCACCCCCACCCCCCCATACACAGAGTACACCCAACAGTTACATTTGAATCTTTGCCTGACATTGTTGGATCCCATGCCCCCTTTGCACCCCACCCCGCCGTCGCTTTAGTGTTTTTTTTTTTTTTGTTGGTTTACAGACGCTTTTGTTTGCTCCCGAGCTGGCTGCTTGTCTTACGTTGAACGCAAAAGATACATACATGCCCCAGTCTCTGTACTTGACTCCCATGGCTCCCATTGACAAATGCTAAACGATTTATGGTGATTTTGGCCTAGAATGAAGAGAGGCCCACAGCTGCTGGCAGCTTCATTCTCATTCATACGCGTATGAAACCCCCCTGAAGATCTTCCCATTACTTGCCCCGCAACTAATCCATCAATTGTGTTGGTATCTTTTAGCCTTAATCTCTTCCTTAATTTACCCCCCAAAAAAAAAAAAAAGAACCAACTCCAAATGTATCAATTTTGGCGCTTTTATGTCGTGATCTTTTGGATACATCATAAATATTCACATTTTGGATATCCTGCGAGGGTCGTAGGACCCCTTCTGGATTATTGATTTGCCCCGCAAGCGATACGCGTACCCGATATCTTGTAGATTTATTGAGGCTACTGCTCATGCGGTGACTCTCCCTCCTCCAGGCACACACCGCACACCGCACACCTCACACCTCACACAGCGAGGGCAGTCCACCTCTCATTGAACTACCTGTTGTACCCTCGAAGGAGGGGATCTGAGCATCTGAGCAGCAACCCCCAAGCAGATCAGAACTTATCGTTCAAGTCAACATGATTAATTACATGCTGAAGACCCTCGGCCCCTGCCCCTGCCCCTGCCCTGTCCTGGACTACAAGGGAAGGCCCCTCGAGATCGTTTCGTTTGAATTTGTGGCCAAAATATTGTCACGCTTCGAGATGGCTCTTGACAACAAACATGACCGAAACTCTCCAAGGAAAATAAATGCACTGCTCTCCGCCTGATTGATTCCACTTGGCGGCACTTGTCGATAAAGATTCTCCCTCCCTCGCTCTCCCTCTCTCTCTCCCACTCTCTTCTGTGTTCTTGTGTCCTCTGACTCTGGGAAATGTTTCCAATTTATTGTCAACTGCGATCCAAATCCAAACCAATCCACAAGATTACGCGGCAATTTGTTTTGTCTGCACAATTCCTAGGAAATATTTTCATAATTTGGTTCCTTTCGGTTTCGGTTTCGGTTCTCTTATCTTTCCAGTTTAAACGAAATTATTTGTTTGCATAATAAGAGTCAAGTGACTCGAGGGAATTGGGGCAGCCAGGCAGGGCCACACCGAGTGTCGTCTAGTAATTGCAGCCAGAGATAGTGCTCTCCAGGGTTCATTCTCTGAGATATACCCGCCTCTCCCTATCTCTCTCTTTGTTTTTTTAAGTAAATTCCATCTTTCTGCAATCCGAATTCTATGCAAATGCCACCACAATGCGAAATTTATGCGAATGCTAATCAAGTTAACACCAGAACTCTGCTGTCGTTGTCGTCTGACAATTTCCTAAAGTGCGTATCTGTGTCGCACAACAACAACAGCAACAACAACAACAATTATTAATGATTTTGCTAAATGTTACAGAAAATAATGACAGCTACAGAGAGCTGCCACAGAGCAGCGGAGCACCGCAGCGGAGCAGCGCAGCAGCGGTTGAACAATTACAAATGCACACAAAATGCCTCCTGCATCGGAGGGGAGGAGCAGAGCTCAACACCTCAACGAAGACCCTGCCGAAAGCCCACATTTTGTGCGTTGAATGAATGATTCGACATGTTCCAAGTGGGCGGCCTAGCTGGGCCGCAGAGGGCGTGCCACAGAGCTCAGACAGACGATGGAGAAGCAAGCAAACAGCAGGCGGCTCCGAGCTGCGAGCTGCCAGCTCCGATCTGCGTCCATGGGTTTCTTTTTTTTGACATTTAGCGCGTGCGCAAATGGTGAAAGAAAGAAAGACAGAAAGAAAGAAAGAGTCATGATCTAGGCAGATCTAACGATCTATTCCCATACCCTGTCCCTGTCCCTGTCCCCCACTTGAGGTGTTGTTAGGGGAAAAGATGAGCCCCCAGTTCCAGTTTCAGTTCCAGTCCCCAGCCCGGCACTCACTCCACTCTCGAACAACGTTTCTATGATCGCGTTAATCACCTTTCAAGCCCACTCATAAAAACGATATGGCACTTCAGATGAGTCTGTAGGATGGGGGCAACCTATAAACGATATCATTGATTACTCAGCAGGTTTGCTCCAGCTGCCCCTTGCCCCAGTCTTTCTACAGGCGTGTGGAGGGAGGGAGGGTTTACTGTGCTGCTGCTAATGATGCGACTGCACAATTGAAATGAAATTAATTTTACTCAATAATTAATTAAAGCGCACATCTGTGGGCGCAAAAGGAGAGAAAGCTCAGGCCCACTCCTACGCACAGAAGATCCGAAGAAGATCCAACAGCCCCAGCTATAACTCCAGCCAATTATTAATTGGTCTAACAACCCAACAGTCACAGTCATAGGCCATAGCCATAGCCATAGCCCCATGTTTGGGGGTTGTGTTGAGGTTGTGAAATCTCTCGTGTTGCCTTGCCCGAGGCCATAAACCATAAACCACACTGATAGATCATAAATGCGACGACGCACAAAACAATTGCACCGAAAAATAATAATAATAATAATAATTCGTGAAATTCGTCAAATTAAATCGTAAATCGTAAAATCAACAACCAAAAACAATTCGCCAACTGCCAAACCCACAATCCAACGTCAGACACAAAGCAGACGACGACTCGGCGGCTCGACGACACTGACACAGAAAGAAGTAAGCAAACACCGACCGTTCTCGCAGCCAAAAAAATTTCCATAGCATTTTCTATTGATTTTTATGGCTAATCGGAAAAGTTTACCCAAAAAAGCGACAAATAGAACCAAAAGCCAAATAGATTTCGTAGAACTTTGGGCAATTGTTTCATTTATGATTAGATGAAGAGGAAGCCCTTAGCTGGAATTCCCTATGAGAGTGTTGAGAGTTCTAGAAGTTATTTAGAAATGAGCTTAATATATTTTATGAATGATATCATCTAGTTTGCTCCGAGTTATTTAGTTGTGCAAATCAAAACTCAAAACTTTCAACTTCTTTCGTACTTACTGTAGAAATTCGTTTCCAAATTTTAAATATTAAAACTCCGATATGAATCCTTTTTTGCAACATTTTCTTAAGCATTTCCTGATCTTAATATCCATATTCTTCATTTCTGTTCTCATTGAAGTTTATATAGCACGTAAGCTGAATTTTATTTCACATAATTTAGTCACACCTTTATTCTCTTCCCCTGCCGGCAGCCCGTCTGCCAAACTTTAATACGAGTAAGTCACTTCATCAGGATGCGAACGAGGCAATGGTCCAGGATGCAGACAGCGTAAGTATATCCATCCATTCAGTAATCATTTGAGAGTACTCTAATTACATATTCTGACATCCAGTGCACCATTGAGCAGCTTGAGGATGAGCGTTACTTGAAAATTAGCTGCCGCATGCGACAGCCGCGCTCTGTGCCCACGGACTACGGACGCGGTCTGCTTTTTATGGTGCCGAATGTTTCGCAACATCTACCGCGCCAATGGAACCTCAGAGTGCCCAGGGATTCGGTGGTGGGACTCAATGAGCTAGCAGCCAAATCACGCAAATAGATTCAACAAATTATCACGGCTATAAATCTACTCGTGCATAAAATAAATAATCGCCAGTGAAACAATCAGTGCAGCAAGGGCTGAGCAATCTAGTAATCCATCGTTTAATTTTTCTGCTTAGCTTTAAATATTTTAGTCTTAATTTATTATCAAAATTACTTCAATAGTTTTAATTTCTTTTCCTTGCCCCAAAATGGCTCAAGGTTCACTGTGATCCTGACTGCTGCATATTGGATAACTGGCTTCTACACAATTATTTGGTCTGATCCATTTAGAATTCCAATGCCCGCCCCATAAGCGGAAGAGTCCTGCAATTTTCATTCGACTTAAAGCCAAGCTTGGGTCCTTTTTCAACAGCTTTTATGACCCGCTGTCTGGTCCAAAAAATGGAGAACAAATATCTGAAGTACCACGAGCAAGCGTGCCGGGCTAGGGCTACAGGTAAGTATTCTTGCATTAAAAGCAGATAGATCGCACTTTTATCCATCCTTCCCTCCGCCCCAGCGCACCATCGAGAACGAGATGGGGACGGGGTATGATTGTTCCGATTTTCCCAGTGTCCCGTATCTGAAGATTAGCTGCCTGGCGGATGCACGCAAATGGACCGTCAGAGTGCCCAGCGATGTTTTCGAGCTGGTTGAGTTTACCTTCGATTGAGAAAATGTCAGGGCAAGTGGAGACGACGGCACTTATCACCAAATTAGGGGACACAATCGTGGGACCAGAGGGCGGGTGGACCAGAGATAGAGTTGAGCAGGGGCGGCCCACCAACAGATTTCAATTAAACGAAAGGTCAGGCGGCTGTCATAGATGGTGCCGCTACCGAATGATCTGCTCCCTGATCTCCTCCTGGAGAGAGGAGAGTGGACAGCGGCGCGTCTCAGCTTAATGAGCTTATCCATCATCGCGGTCACGGCTCCTCCACACAGACACAGAGAGGCAGAGAGACACAGAGGTAGAGAGACAGAGAGACAGAGACTCCTCATCTGTCACAGGGCTAATAGGTTTCATTAGTCATCTCCAATCGCCTCCTCTGCTGCTGCTGCTGCCACTGCTGCTTTAACTTTATCAGCTGCTCTTACTGTTTGGTCAGTCATTTCTCAAAGCCAACAAAAATACTTCAAAAATGCTCGACTTTGGTCGCTGTGGATCAGGCGAAGTATGGTAGATGGTAGATGGAATATGGCTTTTACCTTTTTAGTTTGCGTGTCGACAGCAATTTTCACGTTAATTATTTTTTGGTGGCAAGAGGGTACGCTGCGGTTGGGGTTGGGTGGTTGGGGGGGTTGGGGGGTTCGGGGGTGGTGTCGGTTGATGTGTTCAGCACGCGCTAATGTTTAATATCCGCCATGGCCGGCAGGATAACGACAGCTCTGGCCAAGGGCAGAGGGGAGCAGCGAAGAAGGCACCCAGAAACCAGACAGCTATGCAAATTTCCAACATTATTTGTGTATTCAAAGAAGAACAAGAACTATAGCCAAGCGATGTCTGATGGACTAGGGGAATACCTTGCAAGGCAAAAGGAGCCATGGAGATGGATTTCTGCTAGACTCCCACTGTAAATGGTAGTCACGAAGGCAGAGGAATATCCCCCCAAATGAATCCTTGCCTTCTATTCCATTCTCAGTGCTGCAAAGTAGCCCACAATTCGCGCATTCCCTTTTTGGGGCATCAGTGGGGATGTCTGGTACAAAACGGAAGCAAAGTCCGTGGCAAAGCGTGTGCTCGTAAATTATCGAAGCTACACACACACACACACACACACACAGATACACCTCCTACCTATCTCTGTGTGTGTGTGTTTGTCCATTTGGGCCAACGTCCCTTCGTGTCGTCCTGGCTGTCTAACATTGTGTTCGTCCATTGTCTTGCCATGGCCCGTTTTTTGTTGCCAGAGTTAAGGTGACAGGAACAGGAGTGGGTGGGTGCCTGTCCGTTCTCTCTCTCTCACTCTCTCCCTCTTCCTCTTCCTCTGTGTGTTTGCCATTCAATATTGGCGCCATTTTGGTCAGGTCCTGTCTTTGTGACTCTTTGTAAGCAGCACCCTGCACCCTGGCCCCCTCCCTCCCCCTTCCCCTTATCACCACAGTCTGCCCATAAAATGTTCAATTAGTTAATGAAAAATTTTCCAATTGGAAAACAACATTTGACTTGAACTAACGACCGAAACGCGGGAGGAGCATATAAAGGATGAGAGGCCTGGACTCCGTCTCCGAATCGTACGAGGTGGAGGTGGAGGTGAAGGTGGCAGGAACATTCGTACGTTGCCTTTGTAGAATGCCTGCGAGCTTCGCAAAATTTATGCATGTGATTTATGCGGAACAACGATTGCCAATTACAATATCATTTCTCTTTCTGTCTGCCAGGCTTTGTGTTTGCATTTGTTCATTTTGTATTCATTTCGCCTCCGGCTCTGCCGCTCTGGCTCTGACTCTGACTCTCTTCTCTCCTTACCGATGCTATCTATGTGTGAGTGTAGCTGCACGAGTGTGAGTGTGAGTGTGCGTGTGTGAGGTGCCATTAAGAAATGTGTCAAAACATGTGAGGAATTATATAAGCTAAAATACGACAACAGCAGGGGGTAGGAGCGAGCGCAAGGCACGGAGCAGGGCAATGCCAGAAGTTAAGAATTTCCGAATATAAATCGATTTTTTGGAGCGGCTTGGGGAGGTGTTTCCCAGTTCCCTTTACACACAGAACGGAATGGGAAGATATCATTTGGCAAGGCAAACATTAACTCGAGTCAAAATTGAATTAGAGCGTAACATTGGTCATTGGCACGGCACGTACCCCCCGCAGCACCACCACCCAAGAGAACCCCTCCTGCCCTCCTGCCCTCCTGCCCATCAGGCAGACAGCCATACAGCCAACCATTCAAGCATTGAAGCATTCATTCAACGCCAGAATCAAAAGTCAACAACTCTCGCTTTGTTTTACTTTCCCAGCAAACAGAAATTAAAGCCAAGCGGTAGAAAAAAGCGAAGAGCCAACAGGAAAACCCAAACGCATGACACAAATTCACAAAAGGTGGTAGAACAAAAAGCGGAAAGCGACAGAAAATGCCCATGGAAATGGGCAAAAGTAGGTAGGGGAAATGATGGAAATATTGAGAGCGACACGACGCATATTCAGTATGAGAAGAAAGTCCAAAAAAAAAACCAACCAACAGTCGAGACATCGGCAGGCCAGTCGCGCGGCATTCAGCAAACAACGAAGCAGAAAGGCAAAAAAGCAGAAAAAGTAGAAAAAAACAGAAAACTCGATGGTTGACCGAGCATCAATAGAGCGACTAACTTAGTGGATTTTGACTGTAGGCTGGCTGGGGCTGGGGTTGGGGGTGGCATTAGGTTAGCGGGTGCTGTTTGGTGGGTAGGGGGGCATGAGCTAGTTAAACGCATTTGTGTTTGCAATACGGGCCAGCAAACGGGAGGAAAACAAAGGAAAAGCTAGAAAAGCAAGCGGGAGTTTCCTGTGCTCCGCACTTTGATGGGGGGGGAGCTAATGAAGCCTGAAATCGATTTGTGGAACGAGTACGAGTAGAGTCCAATACAATGGCATAGACGTAGACATAGGTATAGCCCCTCTGGCAAGTGATGCGATGAATGAGAACGAACGCAGCCGGCCGAAGGGAGTCCCGTCCACTGGTCCACTAGCAGTGGTCAAGCCACCCACAGAGCTCAGATCGGAAGGCGCTCGATCGACAGACAGCTGTTGCCATCTCCAAAATCCCCAAATTTACAGCATTCTTCCTCCTTTTAGTGCCAGTCTCTGTCTCTGTCTCTTTCCCTGCCACTTTCCACTTCCAGTGCCAGTGCCACTGTCCGTGTCCCTGTCCCTGTCTCCATCCCCGGCTCGGCTCGGCATTCGTTCTTTTTATTGTAAATTTACGATCGCTCTTTCTGTTGGGACTCTTTTTATTGTGCTCTGCCCTCGGGTGTCTCCGCAGTGGGGCTCGTCTCGGCTCCCACTCCTGGCCGCGCGCATTCCGACGGCCGACCAGACCCACACAAGGCAAGGTGTCAAGTGTTTTGTGTTATCTTCTGCGGTTGGCTTCTTCACTTCTTTGTAGGCCAGCCCCGGAGAGCTGGTGCTGGTGCTGCTGCTGCTGCTGGTGCTGAGCTGAGGCAGAAAGTGTGTCTGGGCCTGGAGCTGGGAGCTGGGAGCCAGAGATCGACCGCCGGTGTGTCTGTTTCTCAAATTGCGTCAAAAATTATCGCCATTAAATGTAGATGAGCGTTTAGTTGTAAAGTTATTGGCTCATAAATAACCTCGGTCCTGGTCGTCCACCGACTGTGGGGCCAGGCAGAGCCAGAGCCAGATGCCGAGTTCTGTTGAGCAGAAATGGTGCAAGGCGACGGACTATTTGTTTTCTCCATTCATAAAAGGCTTTTGATTTATGAATCAATAGTCTTGCGGTTCTCTTGTGCTGCACATCTCCAAGGGTTATGGTTTGTTGGTATTTTGTTTTCTTTTGAAACGATTTCGTAAAATATCTATGATGCCCCCTTGTGAAATATTCACCCAATTATCAGGTGTGTGTGTTTCGATTTGTAGTTGCTTTACGCCATGACCATGCCATGTAGCAGAATTCAATAATACACCATAATTTATTTCTTTATTAACCTGTGTACATCTATTTATCCACGCAGATGAAAAAGGAGCCTCAACCACTGAGATTACAACTAGATGTCGGTGGTGTTTGCCGCAGACAAGATCTGAATACAGGTGCTGAGCAGGATTGTCTGGGACTGTCTGCTGTGGTGGTAGGTATGAATTTGATGAACAATGATGCAAGTGATTCATTTATCTAACTTTTCAGAATGTACATGGCAAGTACAATGCGATTACAAAGCAAGTTCAAAGATGACAGCGCCCGTATTTGTCCAGGACCTCCACCGCAACGACCTCAACTGAGTAAGGTAAGAATGGAATGAAGAAAGCTTGCCATGCAATCATTAGACATAGTTGCTTATGCTTAATATCAATTTCAGAGATCGATCAGCGCTTGTGCTTGGATGCGAACAACCAAATCTAGATCTCGGTCTGGAATGGAAGTCTATCCTGCATTTGGTCCAAGTCCACAGCGTCACAAAGTGCTAATTTGCGGATTCCAACGTGCCTTCTAAACAGTCTCGATCTCGCCCAGGACCAGGACCCGGGAAGGCGCTGTCCTCGCGGCTCAATGCTACCTTTTTCCTGTATATTAATTATCATACTTGGCCTCAATAAAGAAAATATGTTTTGTATATTGTTTGATTTTATTGCATTTGGCTTCGAATTCAGTTGGGGCCAGGATTCTGATGAGGTAATGATATTTCTTCCTTCGGCGGGAGCTTCCGCAAATGTTGCTGGTGCTTGCAATGTTGTTCGGCCCTATGGTGCGCAACATCTTCGCTTTCGCAGCATGTAAAACACCTCTGTTGGCCAATGCCAGAAATCATGGCATACTTCTGGGCTTGTACTTAACATGCAGTTAATATGAACTTTAAAAAACCATTGCATACTTTCAGGCACGCATGATAACAATTCAAGCACCACTTATGAAGCATCTTTTGGGGTTTGATTTATTTATCAATTATTGCATACTTTCAGGCTGAGATTAAAATATTGAAGTAATATCTTTTTCGTGTGCCAAATGATAGGGATGAAGAAGTCCTTATCCAAGGATCAAGGATATTTTTCCGATCCAAGAAAGTCCTGACAGAACCTAAAGAACAGAGATAATATGATATATATGACAGGAGCAAATGTCCTTAGTCCTTGATCCTTCAAAAGGACTCATTTAGATCCAGGATATTTTTCCGATCACAGGAAGCCGTCGCACGCCACGATCGGGCCACAAATAGAGGAGACAGCAACAATACAAAACTGGCCTGTTGTTGTTGTACAACAATAGTTGTTTTTGTTATTGTTGTACAACAAAAGTTGTTGTTGTACAACAAAAGTTGTTGTTGTACAACAAAAGTTGTTGTTGTACAACAATAGTTGTTTTTGTTGTTGTTGTACAACAACCATCCGGGTTGCACAGTGGCGCCCCCATGAACACCGCCGATTTCTTGAACTACATATTCTATAGTCCAAAATCTATCCGTTGAATGTGGGGGCGCCACAGTGAAAGCCAATATTTTTAAGTGGCGCCCCGAATGGCACCGGCGATGTCTTGAACTACATTTGCTCTAGTTCAAAATCTTACCGCTGAGTGTGGGGGCGCCACAGTGAAAGCCGTTATTTTTAAATAAAATAAAATTAAATTTTATTTTTTAGCTAAATCGCTGCAGCTCAGCCATTTCTCATCCGATCATGACGTGATACATGTCCTTTTAATGGGAAAAATATCCTCTATCGTTTGAACAAGCGAAGGACATCAAGGACGATAAGGAACTACCTTTTCACCGCTGTTTTGTCATCAATCATAAGTAAAATCGCTGTAACTCCGCTATTTCTCCTCCTAACTGATCGTGCCATGGCTTGTTGTGATGGCCGGAACATCCTATATGAAGTCCTTATTAAGGATCAAGGATATTATCATAGAGGTTACCGAAATAAATAAAAGACTAAGAGATACTTTAAAATTTTTATTAAAATATACTGTGCTCAGCATAAGTTTGCCATAGTTTTTAAATAAATGTAAATTAAATATTTCGTAGACTTGCCAGCCCAGCCAGTGTAAAAAAACATTCCTGTGTAATCGGATTTCCGGTTTAGTTCGGTTTTTAATAATTAATTAGAACTACTTGTAAAAATGCTATCAGTTTTGAGCAAGCCGTCGTCTAAAGCTGCTCAGCAATTAGTCTACTTTCTACTACTATTCCATTTAGTCGCCGCGTTGATCCTCAATCTGTCGGGGTCCAGGTCCGTCCTCGCCAGCCTCGTTTCCAGCAGCCGCTGCCGCCGCTTGATACAGCTGCTTCAGATCATTGTAGAGCCGCACGGCGAGCTGCATATTTGGTGCTTGTTGGCGGCCTGGCACCTGATGCTCCTTGGGCGGCTGCACGCACATCTTCAACACCTTCTGCATGGGTCGCGTGAGCCGGACACCGCTCAAGAGTCCAGGCTGGAAGGTTCCGCCGCCCAGGAGAATGTGCTCACAAAATATCTGGAAGTTGTTGTTCTGCTGGATGTGGGTGCAAGCATGTCGCTCCTCGTTGCACATTCCGCGGCAGGAGTGGAAGTGGCAGTCCTTGTCGCTTTGGCACTTTACCCCGCGGGACAGGCGCTTGTCCAGCTGACTCTCCACGTACACGTGCTCGGCACTCTGGTACTTGAGGCGACGCTCGGGCGTGGTGCCAAATCGATTCACCTGCATCTTGCACATTTTCAAGGGCTCCGGCTTCATCTCATCCATGCGGAATATGTACTCCATGATGTTGAGGGCGTGCTTCAGACGCTGCTGACGATTTGAGGCCCTGACAGAGATGAACAATGTTACAGTAGAGCGCAAATTGGGATGGGATATCTGATGTACTCACAAATACTGCATAATGCTTGGATTCGATTGCACTATCTCCAGTCCCTCGGTGGCATAGTAGGGCCCACAGGACCCGAGTACTGCTGGGAAAACAGACTCCTCGTCGAACAGCTTCCCCATCATGTAGTTGTTGTCCTTGAACAAACGCCAGAAGCTGACCATCTGCTGGGAGTTGTCATCGGCAATTTCCTGGTTGACCAACGCACGTATCTGAAAGTAAATGGAACAGGAAAAAGTTAGCTATGGACCAACCCCTGTCGCTCGGAGAGTCTCACCATGTTGTCGTCGAGGGTGACATTGTAGGCGAGTATAATGTGTAACTTGACAATCTCATGAAACTCTTCAATCTTTGGGTAAATCGCCTCCCCTTTGGTGTTCTTCCAGCTCAGCTCGTCATCGTTGTGCCTGGCCAGCTGCGAAAGGGAGTGGATGAACAGAAATGGTAGCCATGGCAACGCCCCGAAATTACGCGACCTACCTTCACCGCATACATATCACCGTTCTTTTCGGCCGTAAACAGAATGGTCTTCATGTCGTTCAGCGGACACTGGAAGTTGTCAAAGGTGGACTGTGCCCCGCAGAGCTCTTCGCACAGCGAGCCACTGTATTCCTGCTGCTCAAACTTCTGGCACTGTTTTGCCAGAGACAGGGAAATATATACATGAGATGATATACATATTTAGCAAGATATTTCTGAGGGCTCACCATGAGATTGAGACTCCTGTGCGACATGAGCTTGAAGCAGAACTTGAGGTTGAGGAAGGCATAGCTGAAGAGGCCCACTGCCAGCAGGACCGCAATCAGAACCGTTCGTTGCATTCCAAGCCGAAATTTGCGACGCAGGGCGGTCAACATTTTATTAAATTTCGGATTTCATTATGGATACATTTGCCACTGCAGCAGGTCCTGCTATACGTTGCGAGGTGTATCGGCCAGGTGTGTGTATATACACTTGAAGCTGCAGAAGCTGTCAGTGAATCTGACACGAGGTCCAGGACATGCGCATTGGATGCGCAGTCATCGATGACTATCGATTGCTATCGGACCACACTTTCCGCCCAGCCCGAAAGTCAAGAGATTGTTTGCATTTTGAAATTATTACTTAACGTATAATTCTTTATTTATACTCTCTGCTAAATTGAGCAATTATTACCTTTACCTTTACTTAATTCAATTCATCAATTTTCAATTTTTGTATTATTTTTTGTATTTTTCTATAAGGTTTTCATTTAATTTCATTTCATTCAAGTGTTTAGAGTTTCTTCTGTTTTGTTTTTGGTTTGTTCTGCATTGCTAAAAATTATTTAAATTCAGAATCATATACCTAGGTCCAAGTTTTATTGTTGTATATTTTTTTGTTTTGTTCTGTTTTGTTTTTAATAATAGAATTATTATTTTCGCATTATCTTTCTGCTGCGCTGCACATCTTGCCATTGCATTAGTGTCTCTCCATTGTCTCTCAGTATCTGTATTTGTATCTGTATCTGTGTCATTTGTCTGTATCCGTGTCTCAGTATCTGCATCTGTAACTGTATCTGTATCTTTGTCTAATATTCACCTTTGTGTGTATTTACGTGTATTGTATTTATATACTTAAGATAACCGTTCTTTATGCACAATTTTAACTAGTTATATACACAACTATAGTATGTGGCTATGACAAATGCTACAACAAATTAAATAGGTAAGAAAACAATATCATTCTAGGGGATAAATGTCAGTGCACTCGACTCTGAATCGTCTTGCGCTAATTGTATTTAATTCTGCTATATGTATGTATATCTCAAACGGCACATCATCTCATATATCATCTCTGTCTATAGCGCTTTCTCTCTCTCTCTCCCCCCCTCTAATGCTTTCTGCTGCTTCTGTGTATTATCGATTATCGCATCCTATATCCATTTTTATTTCCATTTCCATTTCTATCATCTGTCCCTCCAAAGTACTCGTATTTAAGGTATTTTCTTGGTAAATTTGTGTCTCGCTACTTGAACATTAAAAATGGTATGCCTCGGCTTAGTTATTTTGCATTACTTTACTTTATTCCGCTCCACCTCTCTCGTTAGTACCTCGTATTAGATAATTTCATTAACTTGCATTAGTCGTTCCGTGTTTTTTTGTTGGGTTGTAGGCTGTTATAATTATGCAGTTGCTATGTTATATACATTCTGAAGATTGGCCCTGGCCCTGGCCCTTAACTTCATTTCGTAGTCGTTTCCGTTACCGGCACCGTGTTCTCGTGTTATCGTAGTTCGTGTCTGCTGTTTGTGTTGTTCTTGTTCTCTTGTTTGTTTTCTCTGTTGTATTGTATATTATTACGTTTTTTTTTTGCGTTTAAACTTTATGCAATGTTAACATTTTGTGTTTCCTTTTTTCTTTTGATTTTGTTACAAAATCGCAGCCGCTTGGCATTTTAATTTGGTTTCGTTTTGTTCGTAGTTTTAACTCATTATTGTTTGGTTTTTGTTTGCTTAGTTCATTTAAAATAATGTAAAAAATCTGCAAATTGCATGCGCTCATTCGTTAATTATGTGCCATTAAAAAATGTCTATGATTTCTCTATATGTATTCATTCTTATATTTACAGCAGTTAATCATTTTTAATTTTTCATTTTATGTTTCTTGTTTTGTTTTATGGTTTTTATTGAACGTTGTTCTCCCCCTCTGTGTTCATTCTATCTATCATATCATCTATCATCCGATTCTGTTTCTGTTTCTGTCGATCTACTTTTTGTTGTTGTTCATTTATGTAAAACCTTTGTTTTTGGCAGTGCATTTATAATTATTATTATTATTATTTTCGGTTCACTATGTCTCGTAATGATTCGCTTTTGCTCGACTACAAATTAAGTTTCGTTTAGTTATAGTTTACTCATAAATTAAAGGTTATTAATTAATCAACAGCAGTTACTATATATTACTATATATATATACAGTTTTTATCTCGTGTTTCGCAAGGTACTTCCGATTCAACGGCTATACATACATAAATACATACATACATACAATATGTATATGGAAATCAATCTATGTATATTCGAGTTTTCATTATCTTTTTGATCATTTTTCTTTTCGAAAGCGAAACTGAGGAGTTTAGAGGACTATCGAATATATCGAGTACATAATTGGAAGACAGTTGTTTTGGGGATAATGTGGGGGTGGGGGGATAATGTGCACACAGAAAACGATAGTGCCGGAATGTTGGGAGGAATCCCATTACCTTTTTGCGTCCCACTATCATTGAGCTCAGAGAGCTCAGCCAGTGTAGCTCGCCTTGGATTCACGGATTCAAAAGTACAAAGCTCCCAAAATCAAAACAAAAACGATATGGGAATGGGATTTGATTTACTCTGGGGGGAAAAACTAACTGAATTCGTATTTGGTATTTGAGCAAAAAACGGCTTATTGCTTTGTTACAAAAATCGCAAGCAGTCCCTGAAGAAATTCATCGTTCAATCAATAAAAATTGCGCATATCAAATAAATGATAACAAAAATCACCCGCCCTCCTTTCACTTATTATGCAATATACTATATATATTGTGTGTGTTGTGTGTGTGTGTGTGTGTGTGATTTGACTTACTCGTATAATTCGTTCTTAAAATCTGTTCTTCCCATCTGCGTGTGCGTCTGCTTCTGGTTCTCCGTTAACTGCGGTAATGTGTGCCAAAAACTACAGTTTGCTTTGTTCTGTTGCTCCTTTGGTTATTCATTTGTAATTGTTAATATTATTATGTAGTTGCACGTTGCACGTTGCGTGTTGCAGTTGCGGTTGCTGAAACTCTAAATCTTGTGGCGCTGCTTCCGATGCATCCGCACCGAACGGATGCATCCCTTACAAACTATGTATGTATCTTTAACTTGTATTTTTTAGATTGGGTTTCCCTACTCCTTGCTCCTTGCTCGTTCCCCCCTTTTCCGTCTCTTCCTAGCTGCGAGTACTCTGTGGTGTGGAGCAGTGGGAGCATTATTATTTCCATTTGCCTCGTACTCTTATGTCGCTATGTTATGTATCTCTATGTATCTCTAGCATTATATCTGTTTCTTTAGTCAATTTAAATACGCAAATTTCAAAACCGTCGCTTAACCATTAAGTTTGAATATACAAATGTTCCAGGGTGTGTGTACGCGTACAGTACTTACTATAAGTATAAGTATCTGCATTATCATCATTATTAAAATAGTCGTTGTTCTGCATGTTGTTCTCTTTCTCCTCCCTCTCCTCTCCTCCTCTAACTGTCTTGTAGCTGTGATTCGTGATGTGTGTCTGTGTGTGTGTGATCTGTGATTCGTTTTTCTTTTTTTTTTTTTGCTTGTGGATTGTGCATTGTGTGGTGTGGTGACACTCGCTGGCAACAGAGTTCTTGTTTGGCTTAGCACAAAATTAACCTTAAATTTCTTTCGTTTTTTTGCTTTTGTTTTTGTTTTCTTGTTTTCTTTTTTGGCAGTGTAAAAATTGTAATTAAATTTAAAAGATATCCTCCATTCTGTGGTGATTATTCAGTTATTGCTTGTCGCGACAATGACGATGATGGCAATGGCGATGCTGATGTACAGCCACTGTCCCACTGTCCCACTATCATCTCAGTCCTCGTCCAGGCTCTGCGTACGCCGCTCCAGCTGCTGCTGTTGGGGCTTCAGTTGCTTGGAGACCACCAGATACTTTCGGCCAAAGTACGGCGAATCTATGGGGATTATGGGATTACGGGATACACGCTGGATCACTCTCTTCACTTCTTGCGCAGGAAATTGCGTGCACGCTTGCGCACTCTCTTCAAGACCCCCGACCCGGCCAGTGGGTCCTCGTAGCGCATGGCATGTGCTGCCTGTGGCTGCTGCTGCTGCTGCTGTTGCAGCAACATGTGGTGGCCATGCCCATGGGCGTGGGTGTGAGCATGGGCGTGACTGTGGTGCGATTGCGATTGCGGGTGCGATTGCGATTGCGAGTGGTGATGGGCATGCGAATGCGAGGTGTTGGCTGTGGAGGCGTGATAGTGATGCATTTGTACGAAATCGTCGTCGCCAGCGGGATTGACGGAACCCGAAAGCGGCGAGCTCGGTGACATGGGCTGCGACAGGAGATTGTGCTCGGAGGCAGCGTCAAACGATTCAAAGGGCTGGAACTGCTGCTGCTGCTGCTGCTGCTGCTGATGGTGTGAGTGGTGGTGGGGGTGGTGGTACAGCGGCTGTGGCGACGGCAGCGACGATGAGTGCTCGCTGGTGGTGGAGGCATCCACTTGGCAGCCACCGTTGAACTCCTTGGGCAGCTCATCGATCCCCAGCGACTTCTCGAAGTGCGAGTTGCCCGACATGTTCGTGTAGTCATAGCTGGGGAAGGTGTACGGCAGATATCCCGCATGATGGCCCTCGCATCCCACCATTCCACTCATCTCATCTGGGTCGGCGGCGCCTCCACTCCGATTGTTGATGAACTTCACCTCGTTGGCATTCCGCTCGAGGCTGCTGTTGAACACGATATTGATGTTGTTCGAGCTGGTCGACAGATTGATGTTTGTCGGCGACATTGGAGGCTCCGTTGAAGTGCCCATCCCCGTCCCGTCACAGTTCCAGTTCCAGTTGTCTGGAGGTTCGTCTCCTTGGAGCTGCTGGCTCTGTAGCTCTGGAAGCACTCGCCCGCATCGCTGGAGGCTGTGTTCGTGGTATTCGTGTTGTTGTTGTTGTTGTTGTTGTTGGCGCCGCCGCCGCCTCCGCCGCCCTGCTGGAAGTTGTTCTTGTACTGAAACTCCAGGGCATTGCTCGGCTGGAAGGGATAGTTCTTCGAATTATTGAGGACATCTGTGGCCGTGGGATCGCCCTTCGACAAATACTGATGGATGTCCTCGCTGGTGATCTGCAGGTCCTGGTCCAGGTAGCTGTTGCACTGAATGTAGTTGTTGCAGCAGTTGTTGAACGACTCGCCGGGATCCTGATGGAAGAGCACCGTCGTCGACTCTTCCTCGAATTCGCAGTGGTAGCTGCTGCCGCGCCGCTTCCGGGCTGCTGCCGCTGCCGAGGTACTGGGACCCTCATCGTACACGGAGCCACTCTTCCAGCAGGCGGTCTCGGCGCTGGTGATCTTCCTGCAGGGCTTCTTCTCGGGCTCCGGCTCTGGCACCTGCCAGGCATCCAGCTTTTCCTCCTCTCCTCCTCCTCCTCCACCCACGGCGCCATCAAACTCCGTTGGCGACTTGCCGTCGGCCAGGAAGCTCCAGCGGATGGGCGACGGCGAGCAGGCGTATTCGGGTAGATCGTTGCTCAGAGCTCCCTTGGAGCTCTGCCTCTCCAGAGTGGAACCCGCCGCATCCTCTCCCGCCTTAAGCTCCCCCGCCAGCTGCTTGGCCCTGTCGAAGATGGAGGTCAGTGAGCCCAGTTGACTATTCGGGTGACTGGCATTCAGTCCCCGCAAGGAGATGGAGGTGTAGCTGGGCTGGCGATGCTGCAGGCGCTGCTGCTTCCGCATGGCTGCGGACGCCGACTTGATGGAGTTGTTGCGGCTGAGCGAGGACCGGGAGCCGTAGAGGCTCGTCGAGTCCGTCTGGTAGCAGTAGTCGGAGCTGGTGCAGCAGCTGCTGGGGCGTCGCGACGAGGAGCCGTACAGATCCTCAGCGAAGAACTGGGCCAGCTCTGTGCGCGAGGAGGAGGTGCAGCAGGACTTGCGCACCATAATCTCCTGGACCTCGCGATCCGCGCAACTGGGATCCTGGCAGGAATTGCTGGAGACATCCGTGACAGAGCGATGGCGACGATTGGCGGCGCAGACACCGACACCGACACCACCGTGGCGCGTGGTGGTGCCTGCCGCCGAGTGGTGTCCCGCATGATGGGTGGAAGTGGTGTGGGCTCCTGGCAGACTGCCGCTGCCCTGGCGACGACGTCTACGATAATGATGATGGTGTGAGTGATGGCTGTGCGGTGAGGTGTGGCGACTATGATGCGGACTGTGGCTGTGTGGCTTGCGTGGCTGGTTCTGCAGTGGTTGCATTGGTTGCTGGTGCTGCTGCTGCTGTTGCATTTGGTGGCAGTGTGATAGGATGGAGACCGTCTCCTGATTCGGCTCGTGATTCGGCTTGTGGCTGTGACTGTGCGCTGGTGGTTGCTGCTGCTGCTGTTGCTGTGACATCTGTGGCATCTGTTGGGGCTGCTGCGAGGGGGCTGCTTGATCACATACAACATCCTTCTCATAGCTACAATGTACGTATTCGTGTGTGGCATATCGGGACTGGTGATGCGACTGCTGCGACTGCTGCTGCTGCTGTTGTTGCTGTTGCTGCTGCTGCTGCACATCGGCATCTCCTCAGCGCGACTCACGGACCGAACACTGGCAGTTTCAGGAGGTGAGGCGTTCCTCAGTCAAGGCCCGCTGTTCGGGCAGACAGGTGCTTGCTGACGAAGGTGATGGGGCGCAGAGGCACCGCTCCGGCCCTGGTGTGTACTTCGGCCGCCGTCTAAAAATCGCTCGGAAGCAGCTGCAGGGAAGCGCAGTTGCAGTTGCAGTTGCAGTTTGCAGTTTCAGTGGCAGTGGCAGGACGACAAAGCGGCGGCGACAACGAAAACGTGAGAAATAAAGAACCAAAAAAATCGAGAATACAAAAAGCGATTAATATAGCCGCCAAATCGGGGGGGTGGGGGTTCAATTCATTTCGTGTCGAGTATTTCGAGTATTTTTATTAATTTTCTCTTTTTTTTTTTTTGGGTTGTTGTCTGGGCGTTGTATTTTCTTTTTTTTTTAGCTGTGGTTCCATTCACTCACTTAAAAACAGTGCATGCAAAAAGTACATGCCAACAATACGCATGCAATCGATGGAAAATAAACGCTTGCCTCAAGTACGAGTGCATCATGCAAATTCTCTACGAACAAAAATAATCAAAAACTTCCGTATGAACTTTCGCTGATGATGTTTATAGGGGTGGGTGGGATCACTGCGGGCTTCGATTGATTGATTGATTGATTGATTGATGGTCTGATTAAACGATTGACTGACTGGGATGATTTTCATTTGCTTACTTTTTTTTTTTGTTATTTTTAGCACACTCTTTTGGGGTCATAAACAGAATTTACAGTCGAGTTCCAAATTTCGAGTTTTCAACAAAATTCAATTAATTAAATAAAAATTATAGCTGATATATTCTATATAATTTAAGGTGACATTTCTTAGATCAATTTTGCTTTCGTAAAAATTTTGCTTTAATGAAATTGGGAATACGCCTGATATTCTATGCTCTTCAGAAAAAATTCCCTTTTCTGCGCCCAAAAAGTGTGCCACTGAATCGTTTGAAGAGTTATGAAGATGAAGATGTCTTAAATTTTAATTTCATTTGGACTTTCTTATACCTAAGTGGTGTGTGTGTGTGTGCGTGCTATTTCAGACGCATTATTGGCACTTTTCTTCTTAATCTTGGATGCTGTGAGGCCATTGTGTACGCGAGAGTTTTGTTTTTTTTTGTGGGTGAGTATTGTTTTGGGTGCGTGTTGATTTATTTTTGGGAGAGAAGTGCGTAAGGTGGGTGGGTGGGGGTGTAAGGGCTTTTGGGGCCCAGTTTTTACTTAGCCAATCGGTTGGTTCGCTTGATCCCAAGTTTTCAAGTAGATATTCTCTTCACTTGCGAACTATAAAAAGAACGAAATGAAAACAAGTTGTTTAAGCAGATTAGAGACCTTCTACGAGTACATATGTATATAAGTAGCTCGTTGCAGCCACAGTAGCTTCAGCATTAGTTCTAGAATCTAGATATATGTACTTTGTATTTGTTGTTTAGTTAGTTATAGAATCTAGAATCGACTTTTTTGGGGTGCATTGAGTGCATTGACTGGCGGCGGCGGCGGCGGGTCTTCCAAGCAGCACGCGCTGGGCATTTTCATGTAAATGCTTTCGTGATTGGGTGTATTACGAGTACGAGTACGAGTACGATTAGTTGGGTAGTTGGGTGCTCTTTTTGGTTAGCTTTTTGTGTGCCTTTTGCAACCTACATGACATTCTTCCGTGCGCCGAGTGCCGGCGGAAACTGTCGTCGCCCACGTAGTCAGACTCGTTGTGGTAGCACTTTCTCGCTGCCACTGGCGTTTGTATATTTGTGCCATAGTTCGTGTAGCACGTGGTGGAGCCTACGCCTACGCCTCCACCAACGAGGCCGCCTCCTACTCCTACTCCTACGCCTCCTCCGCTCGAGGCCGCCCCATAGCTGTGGGTTGTCGTTGTGGGACCCAGGAGATTGGTGCTGTCGCTTAAAGGATAGGGACCCATGCCTTCAACCGTCAATGAGAACGAGGTCGTACCAAAGACTTTGATTATTACATATTACGAGTAGAGTTATAGGAGATTTCGTTTCATTTCGTTTCGGTGTTTTTTTTTTTTGGTTTTGTTTTGGTTTTCATGCAAGTTTCAGATCGGATGTTGTCGCCAGATTTGTTGTTGTTTGTTGCGGTTGGTTACATACAATATTTGGTTGTGTTGCAAGTGTATTTTAGGTCCCAGTTGTCGATTGATGATTGATTTGTTTGATTTGGTTCCCAATGGTTCAAAGTTTGTTTCGATTTTTCAGTGACAGAATTCATAAATAAACAATTTGAGAGTTAATTTATCTACCAGATACGCGACTATCACATCGATTTCTCAATTATGGAATAGAGATTATAATAATTATAAGATAAAGATCACAGTTTTCTACACGAACAAGCAGCTAAATATACAAAAATTAACATATTTATTTATGTTTCATTCCAAATGAAAATTAATTAAGAACAAAAAACAAAAACACTATATAGGCAAACGATAATCATAAACAGAGTTTTACACCACAGATATTTGTATGTCTTATAGGAATGAGTGGAATGATTGAATGTTTGTATTTAGATTGTGTTCAAAACAGGGAAAAAACTAAAGAACAAAAACCGAACTAAAATGTCGTTTAATTGCTCTTTAAAGTGTTGTATTTTGTGTGTGTGAAATGTTTATCCTTTCGTTTGGGTCAAAATTGTCACTAAATATTATTTACATTTACGTTTAGATTTCTGTGTCGTTTTCGTGTGTGTTTTTGTAGGTTTTTTCTTGGGGCTAGAGGCCTGCTTTTGTTTATCTAGAGATAGGTAGGTAGGTAGGTGTGTGTGTGTTTTGTGTGTTTAGTGTATCTGCATCTGTGTAACTTTATGTATTTGTTCAACAACATGGATAGGATATGCAAATATTTGTGGATGTTGTTTTCGAGCAATTTGCACAACAAATAATGAGTAGAGCAAAGAGCACAAATGGGGATATTAAAAACTCAAACTCAAATAGAAACACAAACAGAAATTCAAACTCAAACAAAAGGTGAAAACTTGTGTAGTGGTTTTTTTTTTTGTGGTTTTGGTTGGTCGGGTGGGTGGAACGTAGGAGTGTGTGTGTGTGGGTGGTTTTGTTGTTGGATTTTTGTTTTTGGATTCTTACGTGAGTCATGTTGGGTCTTCTCCTCGGATACCATCAAGGCGGCATGCTCGATGCCAGAATTCATTGATTGTGGCTCCAAGCTATTTGTGCAGTTTAGCATACTCCTGAAATTCGCACACTCTACGATTATGTTTTAAGTGTAAACGTATTGTAAAATTGTAATTTTGCAAAAACTAATGAGAGCAATTTTTCCGGGTTTTGGGGGCGGGCGGGTACTCAAGTCAGACGGAGAGAAAGAGAGAGAGAGTGAGAGTTGAGACACAGACACGGAGAGAAAGGGTCCTTTCTGTTTCTAGGATTTTAAGGGTCCATTGGGTGTGTGTGTGTGTGATTTCTTTCAGCTGGAAGAGCTCTGGGTTGCCTGCTGCTTGGAAGTTATTAGGCGCGGCTTTAAAACTAAATTTAAAAAAAAATTTTTAATTAAATTAAAAAATTAACTCAAAAGATCTAAGAAAATAATGTTTATTTATAATCAAAAACAAAAACGTGAAACAAAATTGTATTAAGGCTAGAATTAATACTAAAATCGGAATAATTGCTAGGCACAAGACTCATTCTCCCACAACACAGGGGGGTGGTCCATGGGGGATGTCTGTTCCATTACACAAAACAGGGTGAGTAGAATGGGGAGCATAACGAAAGTGTTTCACTGCACTTTGTGCCTCTTGGTGGGTGCATCGGCATCCCCCTTGCCGGGCGAAGGCGGCGATGGCTCAACATCCCTCAGCGATATATCAATTTCCGCCGTGGCCGTGGAGCCATTGTTCTCGTTGACACTATCCTCACTAGAAACGCGGTGTACGTGGAGGGGGGACATAGACATAATCAAAGACATAATCAGTGTGCGTGTGTGTGGATTGGTTGGTTGGTTGGTTGGTTGGATTGGTTGTATGGATTGTGTGTGGCATGTGGGCATGTAGGCATGTGGCATGTAGGCATGTGACATTTTGCCGGTTAACTAAACCAATTTTATTCGTTGATGAGTCGGTGATGAGAGGTTCGGGCGCTGATTCATGAGTCATGATTCATGATTCGAAGAAGGAGTCATGGTGAAAGATGCGGCGGCTCTTATAAATACATATATAGTATTGTATTGTTTTATACGAGTAGATTGAGTTTATGCAATAGAGAGAGTTAGAAGTTAGAGAATAGAATAGTTTAAAGTTCATATTAAAGATATTTGTTGGGTATTTATTTTTGGATATATTTTTTTTTGCTATGGTTTCTTTGGTTTCTTATTTAGATTTGCTTTAAAACGGCAGCCACTTGTTTTTTGGTTTTTTTTTTTGTTTGTTTTTTGTTTTTGTTTTTTATGTATTTTTTAAAGGGGGGTGGTACGTAACAAAGTAACGAGAAGTACAGGCAAAGTTTTGTTAAGCGACATGCCGAAAATTGTATAGAAAACGTTTTGAGCGCACTTTTCATATGTCAATTGGGTTTTTATTTTTTCGTTTCTTTTGGTTTTCTTTTTGGTTAACGTAATGTACATAAATGTTGCTAAATAAAGTACAGCAAATACGGTAGCTACGTTTTAAAAGTTTAGAAGAAGAGCGGAAACGCATCAGATTCTGATTCATTGAGATTTAGAGACCTTCTTTGGGGTGGGTGGGGCTTTTGGTGGATTTTTGGAGGGTATAGGGGGATAGTTAGCTTTCGGCGTGACTTCATGCATCGGTGGACTTACCCGTACAGTCTACTATCTCGAAAAGTCCTTTTTGTATTTTTGAATTGGGGCATTACATTGGAATTGGTATTTCAAGTCAGAGAAAGAGAGTTATTTTTTTTTGTCGAACGGAAATTGTGCATAAATCAAAACACAAAAGAGAACAAATTTGTAAAAGAAAAAGTAAATCAAGAGGACCCCGTCGAATCCATGGGATTTAATTGTATTTTCCCATTCGATTCAAGGGGTATCAAAAAACAAGGGGTATGCAAACCGCATAATAAACTTCCAAGTAAATGTTAAGAAAAAGGTCAGAGTTAGTTTCAGTTTTTTGGGGGGTTTTCTTCTTCTTCAGAGTTTCTATTTTTTAGGGTTTGGGGGGGTGGGGAAGATTGCTTTTAGAGAGAGTTTTCAGGAACATCGTCGACAAATTGCCATGATTGGTGTGCAGATTCGTGAGTTATGAGGATGAAATCGGAAGAACATACCTGCCATTGTTGTGCCTGAAGAGGGCCAGTATCTCCTCGAACGTCTTGTTCTTGGTCTCGGGCACCTTTTTGTACGTGAATATCCAGAAGATGGCCAAGAACACGCTAAACGGCAAGAACGTATAGTTCTCCAAAGCAGTCTAAAATCAAAAACAAATAATCATATATTTGAATCATGATTGGGAAGCATCTCACTCACCTTCATGCTGGGGAAACCAATGCCAACCACAAAATTGGCCATCCAATTCACTAGCACCGCAATGGCCATGGCACTGGGTCGTGGTCCCTGGGAGAAGAGCTCGGCGGTGATCATCCATGGTATGGAGCCGGGACCAACGGCAAAGAAGACCACAAATCCGAGGGTGGCCACAACCGATAGGTAGGACATCCAGTCGATCATTTCCTGTACGTAACCAAAAAACTCCTATACAAAATGGCATAGTAATCGCATTCTCGATGATTTGTAGGCTTTCTCTTTTACGTTTTTTTTTTCGCTCTCTCGTTACTCGTTACTTTTTACTCGTTTCACGTTTAACAAAGAGAATAAACGGTTATTCGTTACTTGAAACTCGTTACTTGTATGCGTTTCACGTTTGACGAATGCTCTCGAATGTTCTCTCGTTACCCGTTTAACGTTTAACGAACTGTCTGTTCAAACCAAAATCAAATCAGGGAGATTGATGATATCCTCATCAAACAAAATGAATAAAAATATATATCGTAATCCTAGCATCGTTATCCCTGACATTTCTTTTATGCATGAGAGTTGAGTTGAGATTATAGACTATAACTATAGTTTGGGAATTGTATATTTTCTTAGCTTTTCGGTTCTTGGTTCTCAAAGAGTTTCTACCGTTTACCACAACTGTCGCTCGAGTCTTTTTCTGTGCTGCTGCTTAGGATAATATTAATTAGAGCGTGATTCTATATATCTTACAAAGTAATCAGAACTTAAGTAAAGTAAAACTTAAATAAAATTAAAGTCAAGTAAAACTAAAAGTAAGCTTTAATCGTAGTCTAGGTCGACATTGAGAGTTGTGTTTCGTTTGTGTGTTTTGATTTTTAAAGCGATTGATTTTCAGCGCGAGTGCTCTTCAGCTTCTGGCTCTATCTTTTGTACATTTACCAACACTGCTGCCGCAGTGCTGTGTCTCAGTGTTAGTGTTGGCTATTGGCAGTAGTGGAAACAGGGTGCCGTGTCCGATAAACGTTTTTGCAGAGTTTTTAGTTGTGTTCGATTGCGTTTGTTGCCTTTGAAACTGTGTAGGATTGGATTGCTTCTAATAAAATTGTTTGTTGGCCTGATCAAAGCGAAAAGTATAAGCAATAAATAATATAGAATTAAACTGAAAACAGATTCGTCAACTGATTTCGATTTCGAGTGAGTGTTTGGCTTAGTTGTTGTTCTGTGTTCTGTGTGGGTGGGCGAAAGCCTGCCAAGTCGAGAATAGCTTTTAAATAAGGGGCGGGGGACAGGTTGCACGAGGGAGCTGGATCCATGGGTGAGCATCTTCACCAGCAGTCGCCGTTCCTCTAGTCAGTGTAGACGATGCCAGCGAATGCCGGCGATGGCTCTGCTTTGCGGGGTGTCTGAGGGGACCAGCTCTGTCTCACTCGTGCAACAACTTAAGACTAGGCAAACGCAAAATGTCAAAACACAACTCAAAAAATGCATTCCAAAAGCAAGCAACGTGCAAAGAGTATTATACATAGATATTGTAAAGGCTTAAAATGACGCTAATTTATTGCACTAGTTTATGTGTTTAAATATTTAATAATATGTAGAGAGGCTAAACATGCAGTGGCAAGCGGAAAAAACAGATTGCCAACCGCTTGGAATAACGATAATTAATAACCCACAAAAGCGATACCAAAGTGGAGGCCTATAAATTACGTCTATACATATACTAATGTACATATATACATATGTATGTATGTATAAAGTATGTATGAAATACAGGTACTAAATTTAATGGCCGAGGGAGGGAGGGAGCTCTAGCAGCAGAGGCTATAAATTCATCGTGTTATAAATTCAAAATATATCTCACATCAATAATTTATAGAGAAATGTACGCGCGGGACAACTGTCATGCCGTTTGTACTCTCCTCCACCTCCCCTCCTCCTCCTCTCTTTCACTTTCGCTTTGTGAGTATCTATGTATGTGTTTGAGTGTGTGTTCTGTGTGTGTGTGTGTGTGTGTGTGTGAGTGAGTGTTTTGTTGTTGCTGTGTTTGCTGCTTAGCTCTTTTTAGGGGGGCCATAGGCTACTGGCTTTGGGGTTTGTTTAAACACAACTTCATGCATAAAATATTCATATCAATATTCAAATATTTATAAAACACACGCATTCGCTTGGACGATATGCAGATGTGGCAAGTACGAATATATATATAAGTACTATATATATACATACATATATCTAAGGGCTATATATGTATAAGGGTATAGTAGTTTCTTCTTTAAAATTGAAATGCAAATGCGATACACAAAAAAAAGAGGGGCACATTCCACATTCACATTCCACATTCCGGGGGAATACATATAGATATAGAATGCTAATATATATAATATGCTATAGCATATACTGGCCACTCCTATACTTGCCTTGATCAAAAACGAAATCGTTATGAAAATGGAGAAGATGAACATGCCCCCAAGGCCGTACAAGTGGAGCGTCCTGCGACCCGTGCGATCCATCAGTGGAATGGACACCAGTGTCATTACAACCTATGGGCAAAGATGCACAAATATTACATACACATAATTGGGGGATGCAAAAATGATCGTTTAGCCTTGCCATTATAGCGCCTATGCCTATCGTGGCAAACTTGGCGCTCTCCTCCGTCAAGCCCGAGCTCATGAACAGCGACGTGGAGTAGTAGAAGACGGCGTTGATGCCACTGAATTGCTGACTCAGCTGCATCACAATGCCAATGATCAATGGGGGACGCAGGGTGGGCGAACAGATGAGCTCCATGGTGGATATATGGCTCTCGGCCTGCTGGGCACGCTCCTCGGCGCGCATCTCCTCAATGTCCTCTTCGACAGAGCCAGAGGCGCGCAGCCGTCGAAGGGCTACAAACAGATATCATTAGAGGTAAAGTTGCTCAAAGTATTGCGCAAAAATTGTTGTACCTTTTCGTGCCTCTTCCTCCCATTGTTTGGTTATCAGCAAATATCGTGGCGACTCTGGGCAGACGGGCAGTAAAATTAGTTGCAATATTGCTGGACATATGGCCAGGCCGAGGAGTATGGGCCAGCCCTCGTTGGTGCCGAGTATCTGCTCGATCCCCAGGACTTGGGATAATAGTAAACCTACAGTCACAGCCAATTGATTAACAGTACCTAAGCCACCGCGCAGATTCAGTGGCGCTATCTCCGAGATGTACATCGGCACTAGAGATGTATTGAGGCCTGGCGAATGGACGAAGATACTCCCTCAATCTAGAGTATATGTTCAGTGAGCGATGGAGTACTTACCACAATTAACGCCAATTATAAATCGGCCAAGGAATAACATTTCATAGGAATGACTAACTTTGGTAAAACCCATCAAACAAGCACCCGATATTCCAAGCACATTGTTCAATAGTAGGCCGCCTTTTCTGTGGATCCAGAAGCAGAGATCGAAAAGATATATCATCTGTTTGTTTGGGTCTGTATATCGCCGATACGTACCTGCCAAAACGATTGGCCATCCAGCCGCCACTGAAACCGCCGAGCATGCCGCCAATGGCAAAGATGGACACTGCCACCGAGTACAGCTGCTGGATGAACTCCTCGCTAATGTCCTCGCCATAGCGATCCTTGTACACATCCTTCATGAAATTCTCGATATTCTTCTCTGGGGCATTGATCACTCCGGTATTGTAGCCGAACTGCAGCATGCCCAGCACCGCCGAGAAGATCGAGTATGTGAGGAAGAAGGTGAGACCCTGGAAAATGTGTGTGACGAAAGAAGGAAAATGTATCCATTAGTCTTGTACAACATCTGCCCGATGGGGAGGACAACGGAAGGACATTTGGGGATTCGGTTCTTGGGGGATTCTGTGCGGGTCCATCAAACGCTTTGCAAACAAACGAGTGTGCGGTACAGTAAAACCAATATTCAATATCCATAATCCATAATCCATCGATCGATCGATTGATTGATTGATTGATTGTTTCTCTAAGCATACGATTTCGCCAATTATTATTATCTAATTGAAACTTAGGCATAATTAAAATAATAGTAAAACTCTGATGAATGGAGAGTGTCTGTCTGTCTGGTGGGATGTTTCAAAGTAAAAAATTTATTCAAATATAAAGCAAACAAAAATCATACACAAAATAATAGTTTCGTAGAAGATTCGTTTTATTTTCATAGCTTTTCGCTTATAAACTTAACACAAATATAAAATTATAATTAAAATACCATTGTTCCACTAGCAGGAGATCGTCTGAAAGTGAAAGGAAACTTATCGCCCGAGTGCATAGACTCGCTGATCGAATTTCCCATAAGTGAAGGGCTTAATTCGAAACAAATCTCGTATAAAATTAACGATGAAATCTTAAAAAGAAATCGCTAAAGTAAATCTCCTGCTAATGGAGCTGTGGCACAAAAGATTCATAGATAAAGTACGTTGATGACAAAGCCGTCTGTGTGTGTGTGTGTGTCTGTGGCATGTGCAGAAGCTGGTACCACAAAATCTGTGATATATTTACATATATTTCCATCCTTCAGGTAGCAGCTTCTGCTGTCAGTGGATGTGTGGTGTGTGTGTGTGTGTGTGGAGCGTGTGACATGTGGATGGATGGGTGGCAAGGTGGTTCTGTGGCATAGATGACTGGATGGTAGAGTGGCTTGGTGGGTGGGTGGTTGGGTGGTTGGGTTTTGGCTGAATGGTTTTATTGGACAAGTGACAAGTGTGTGGTGGTTGGTGGTTTTTGGTTCTTTGGCTCTTTGGTGGTGTATTTCGGTTTGTAGTACATGAGATAGAGAAATGAAATTCAAGTATTTAATTACACAACATGGCAAATAATTTAAGCTACAAACTTGTTCTAAAAGTCTTAGCTTCCGTCGGTGCGTGTGCTCCTCCAGTCTGTCGACATATTCGCGCAGCTCCTCGATCTCCTCCTTCACCTGCTGCACGGTGTCCAGTTCATGCTTGATGGCCACCATATCACGTTTGACCTGTTTCACAGAGTATAAAAAATATATATATATATATTCTCGTTGAATAATGTCTGGGGGGGGGGGGGACAATCACCTCTGAGACTTCACTCTGGCAGGACTCCACGGATTTGGTCAGCTCTTGGAGCTGGGTGCGAATTTCGCACAAGGCGACTGTCGTCTCCAGGTGTCGATCGCCTCGCTGCAGCTCATCGAGTTTCGCTGATAGATTCATGCTCATCACGCTAACTTGCTTTTGCAAACTGCACAATGTACAAATGTAATTCAATTGCACAGCAAACACAGTGGCATGCCACAGTTTCAGTTCCAACAGTTCCAGTTCAAGAGGTCACGCACGCAGCGGGGTTGCAAGTGGATTGAGGTTGTCCAGTCCAGTCGCAGGCGGAGTCGCAGTGCCAGTGGCAGTGGCAGTCAGAGTTTAAGAAAATATCAAGTAGAAAATGCACTTTAGTCGTACGATACGCTACATGGCATTCATTTCGGCCGAAATCCTGCTACATTCATACATATGTATATATACGTAAATACATGTATATATATATATGGTATTTGTATCGTATATAGAGCTATTTAGCGTGTACGTATACGTAATTTATTTCGCAAGAAACACACAGAAAAACGAAATTATTTATGACCGCTTGCATTAAAATTTACTGAACTATGCAATTATTGAGGAATGGGGAATGGCATGGGGAGCAACATAAATATCAAGAGGCAGGGAAATCGCTGCAACAGAAAATAGTGGGAAAAATGGAGGAAGGAAGGAAGGAGGCAGTGGAAAACAGCGGAACAGTGTAAGCAGCTGGGGAAAACGCACACCAGATACAACAGCAGTCAGGCAGCAGCTCCTTTCTTGGCGCTCTGCAGCGGAGGCCCTGGCTTTTGGGCTGAAGCGCGAGTGCAGCTGCGGAGCTGTGCTGTGGTTCTGTTTCTGTTTCTGGTGGCAAAAGTCCAAGAGCAAACGAAAGGAAACAACAACAAAAAAAAAGGAGAGCACGAAACATGAGCAGGAAGGGAGGCAGCAGAAGCAGTCGAAGCAGTCGAAGGAGGAGCAGCACGAAAGGATGCAAAAGCAGTGGGTTGTTCCACCAACAAATACGAAAACAAAAGCTAGGACAGGGCCAGGGCCAGGCGGTCGCAGTCGACGTCCACTAAGTACATAAAAAAGTAACTTAAACTAAATTGTTGGCATATTTCGTTATGGTCCAAGGCTCAAGAGTAATGGGAAAGTCGAAATGGCAAAGTAGAATCCAGAAAGAATGAAAAATTGATGGTCTCGTATTCGTTGCAGAGCCATGGGCTATATCCCTTTAAGTTCTTGCCACATCCGAGAGGCAACCATCATTTATTACAGATACAATACCCCCCGCCCGCTCCACCCTTTTGTTTGGTTACGTTTTTGTTCTATTTCTAATCCTGTTTATATTTTAGGATCCCGCCATCCCCTCTCCGCACATCGAATGCATCAGATTTACATTTTCATCAGAGAAAACAAATCGCTGGCGCGCTGTTTGCATTAGTTTTTGGCTCCCAGATACGAGTATGAGTACGAGCACGAGCACGAGTATATATCCATATTCGGGCTGCTTTTTGTGCGTTGGAGAGAATGCTGTTCGTACAACAAGCAAACAAGCAAACAACCAAACATGCAGCAAACAAAACACAAGCGAACGAACCCGCATCTAAATCAAATGGCAACAATGGGCAAAAAGCTGCTCCTAGAAGCTCGAAGCTTTTGATACCCTGCAAGTTTAAATATTACACTACTTGCGTTGGAAAAAAAATTATATTTTTTTTAGAAAGAAATAAGCAGAAATATGCTGCTTCGTTTCCTTTTCTGCTTCACAAACATCTGCTAAAAATCATATAGCCCTGCTGTAAATCGTGAAATTATAGTCACCAGAACTCCATGCCACATTCTATGTGGTGGGTAGCGATGCTGCACACAATGCGCATACGACACGTGGCCCGGGACACCAAAGTTCATGCCATGCCTCTCGAGTTGCTGCTGCTGCTGCTGCTCCTCCGCATTATGTTAATGCGGATGAGGCACGGAGATAGCAGGGGATCTGCTACTGCTGCTGCTTTTGCTGCTGTTGCTGCTGTCGTTAGTATTGTTATTGTTTTGCATTTGCACGGACACTGTTTTGCCGAGCATAAAAGGATTATTTTATGCATACATCAGCGAACGTTGCGTTGCGGAACCGAAAACCGAAACCAGAAACCGAAACCCCAGACCCCAAACCCCCAACCCCCAATCCCCAACCCATAACCGACAGGCAGCACACCCTAGAAACCAGAACCGAGGACATACCGAGAGGCGGCTGGCATCTACTGGCATCCTGTTGTGGCAAGTTATTGTTCTCTCTCAATGAAAACAATTGCTATCCTATCTGCCAGGATATCGCCTACTGTCCGTCCTACTGCCTGCTGCCTACTGCCTGCAACATGTGTATTGGCAACGCACAACACAACTGTACTTGTGGCTGCTGTCCCCTTGTCCCCTTGTCGGTTTTGTCCTTCTGTCAGCTGCAGGAATTTTCGGTTTTGTATAACGGATTTGTATACGTGAGCATTTAATAAATTTTCTGCCAATTTTCTCCGCTTTTCCCCGGCGTTTTCCTTCCGTCCCTGGCATTTGCATTCATTAAAATCTCGAGTACGTGCAACTTGCTTGCTTCCTCGGAAAAGGATGCCCACATGCCCCACATTTTCGTTCGGTTTTCGCTTCATTTTGTCACAAGAGTGAAAATTCTAAAACAAAAGCCAGGGCTTGGCCTCTACGGATTATATCTTTTGGCAGATGATTGCAATCACATTAGCAATGTTCGTCGGCAAGGCAAAACCCCACACACGTCAAGGAGTACGAATACATTCCACATCATCATTCAGACGAGACACTTTCGTTTCCAATCAGTTACAGGTTGGATTTTCTGCTCATTGAAACATCAGTTACAGGTCATATTTGTCTCAGATTTCACGGCACACAGAATACATTTTTAGGGTATATATTAAATAAATTAAAATCATAATTCGATTATAAATAACAGATCAGATTGAAAGATTGAAAGGGGAATACAGATCGAATCAGATCTGTTGGGGGGATATAGGGAATAGTTCGGATGCGGATACGGATACGTAGGATAAACCAATTGGCATATAGGACATTCACCAAACGCTAACATATTTCATTTGCTGCATTGCTGCTGCTCGTGGCATTCTGCTCTGCTGGCATCACAGTTTCTGAATTAAATTTCAATTTTATTTGCGGTTGCGTTGATTTTCATTTCATTTTCCAGGGTCTAGCAATATTTTATGATTTGCATAATTCATTCATTTTGATGTTGATTTTTTGTTGTTGTTGTTGTCTGAAATTTCTCAATTGTTTTTTTACGGTTGGGATATTCCTCAATTTCTATAAATTCTATAAATTATTATAGAGTTATTTTACATATGCAGAAAAGCAAAATGTTGTTCAATGGGAAACAAAACAAATGGCGGTGGCGATGGAGGAGGGCAGAGGGCGTGTCTCCTCTCATCCCCTGCCTCACATGTGAGAGGGTGAAGAGGCAACAACAAAGATGCAACAAAGATAGCAACAAACATTATGTAATTTTTCTTGGGGGTTTTCACTGTCATGTTAGTTTTTTCCCTCTTTAGTTCGTTTTTTTTTTTTTTGTTAATTTTGTTGGTGGAATGACCGTTACGCCAATTAGTTTGGGGTTTTCTTTTTTTTCTATTTTTTTGTTTTTTTTTTTTGTTTTTTTTTTGGGTGTTTTTGAAACCATAAAAACTGTGTGTGCAGTAATTTATTGCAGCAAACGAATTGAAAATGATAACCAGAACAAAATGAACGACATTTAGGAGATTGTTACACGATGCGTTTTCAAACGACTGCAGACACTCATTTATACATGAGAATGGCTCTCATTTAACCATTTAAATGGCCTTTTATAATTAATTTACTTAACCATTCGACAGATTTTACGTTTCTGGGGTTTATTTCTGCTGATTTTTGATTGAAAACACATCGTATACGGCAGACGTGTGGTGGCAGCTTTGACGAGTGGCGATATATATCCCGAAAAATATATTGTGTGACTGACTGGCTGATTGACTGACTTGCTGGCTGACTGATGGATCACGACTACGGGGTAGTGGAAAGTGGAGTGGATGGTAAGAGTGGAGGAGGCAGAGTGGGGAATGGAGCTAATTATGAACTTTGATGACATGCAGAGAGGAGAGAGACGCCAGAGAGAGGGAGAAAACCGCATGCTGATTGACTGCCTGTGCGAGGACGTTTGTCAATGACTGTACATGGATTTTCCTCTGTGGGTGAGCGTATGTACACATGTGTGTGTGTGTGTGTGTGTGACTTAATGGACACTCAAACACTTTTGGGCATGTCATAAAAAACATGACACAGCCCAGGCAGCAGGCAGCTGGCAGTCTGCTGTTTGCGGCTGCCCCTCGAGGGCACTGCATGGGATGCCGCACATCTCTCTTCGAATATACCCTCTCCTGGGGTCACCTTCTCTCTTTCTCACTCTTTTGGGGAATATTTATGTATGTTCATTGGTAAAACTAATTTAATTTATACTTTTGCACATAATTGAATACTAATTGAATGTTGCATGCAGATGGAAAATGGAAAATGGAAAATAGAGAGACAGAGTTGTGGCAAATATTCGAATAATTAACAAATCAATTTGAGTGCCAAAAACAGAGATAGAGCTAGAGATAGAGAGAGAGAGCGAAGAGTGCAGAGTGCAGAGAGTAAGGGTTAAAGGTTAAAGGGGGATTAAACATTACAAAGAGTCAACGACAGGGTGGAGCGAGGGAGGGGAAATTAGCAAAAATATTTCGATATTTAATTGAAGTTTATTTGGTTTTTGGAACTAAATTGCATACTCATTGAGTGGCGTGAATACCAAACCACTTTGCGAGTGGCTGCATCGTTCATGTTGTTGTTGTTGTTGTTGTTGTTGTTGTTGTTCATGTTGTTGTGGCAGTGGCAGTGGCAGAGTGGCACAGACAGAAAGGTGGATGAAGTGGATGACAAAAGAGCACATATACATATACATATACTAGACATTGGGTAGAACATGGTGTGTGTGTGTGGTGGCAGAGTGAGAGAAATGGAAGAACGGCAGCCGCGCTTTGAATTTTAGCGACATCCCCAAAATGTCTGGCCTTAAATTGCAGCAACACCAAAAGTATGCTGCCAAATGTTACCAAATGTTTTAAAGGTAGAACAACTCGCAGGCCTGTCCTCGATTTCATTTTCACAACAAATTTCACATTAAATTAAAACAATTTATGTATAAGAAATAATAGGTTATCATTATTCTACTTCTTCTAAACATATCTTAGGAAATTCTAAAGGAAATCCCATTAATATACCTTTTGAAAAATGTGAATAAAACCGAGAACAGCTCTGATGGGAAATAAAAATATTCTGAGCGTTGGACAATCATTATTTTTACTGACTCAATCACTCAATCAACTCTGGTGACATTTTATGACAGTTTTTTTCGTGTGTGATTGCGGTTTTTGCTGAGCAACAAAAGAAGTGACACGTACCGATAAAAGTGACGGAGTGACCGAAAAATAAACCAACAAATAAATGAATGACAGCAAACAAATTTTAAAATTGCACAAAAAATTAATTAAAGCACTAATTTAATTTTGCAATATTTTACAGATTTAACAAATACACACACACACGAACACAAATCAGATTCCGAAACGGAAACAGAAGCAGATGCGACAGATTTAGCCATGAATGAATGAGTGAGTGAATGAATGGAAAATAACTCGTGAATGCGTGACGCGTATGCATGAGTGATGTTCGAATGCTGCTGCACATTATGATGCGATCGATTATACGTTAGTTAGTGATTAATTAAATGGATGTTAGTTAGTGTTTATGCTAGTTAGTTATGCTAGTAAGCGGAATGTGGATATGGATATGTACCTGGGTGGCATTGTGCCCATCATTTTGCTGCTGGCTTTTTATGCTTATCTCTGCTCCGTTGTTTTATATATTTTAGTTGCTAATTATCTTTATTTTTAGATTTTGTATATATGTATATATATTAGATATAGTGATTGGTTCGTTGCTTTTGCCTTTCTCTCTCGTTTTTGATTTAGTTTTTTTTTTTTTCTTATTGGTGAATGTCGTATGTGCCCGTAGGTTTTTTTGTTCGTAGGGGTACGTTTTCTAGGGTATCAGAAACAACACACAACACACACAATGGGCAATGGATGATGCCCCTCAATCTCAATGCGCTCTCTCAATGAATAATTGACAGAAGAGAGTAGTCTAAAGGACACACAGGAGGAACACACTTAAATGAACACAAATCTGTTAAAGGAATGGAGAAACATAGTGGATCATAGTACATATACATAGAAACAGATACAGCTATATATTTTCGCACATACAAAAAGAAGGCCCGAAATTACATTTGAAATTAAAATTAAATATTTGAACATAGAAAAACATTAATTGTTTTCATAAATTAAACAAAAATTCCACGCAAATAAAATTGCTGTTTATTTGCGGCAGATATTTATGGCTCCCAACCTCCTCCAAACACTGCCAGCCAACAAAATTAATGACCCTTAATGAGGCATTATTTGGGGCATACAACAGTGGTCAGAGGGGGGGTGGGCGGTGCTATAGGTTAAATAAAATATACAAAGAGGTGGAGTTAGAGAGCGAGAGAGATACATACTCGAGCAGCAATTGGCGCAATGTGGCCTCGTCCTCTCCATGACATCTCAATCTCGATTCACGATCACGATCATCCCGACTCGAGGAGGAGGTGTGGCGCTGCCGCTTGGGGGCATAGCTAAACGAATGACGATAGAAACGGCCGTTGTTTTGTATATTCTCTGCACCACCACGATAGGCGTCTACATAGGACATAAATATATATATATATATATTAATATATTAACTAATAAATATTCTTACCTTCTGGTCGCAATCGTACTGGCGGTGATGTCAGCTTGAGTTGTTGTGACGTTGTTGAGGGCGGATTCTTACGTCGACCACCAAACACATAATCGTAGGAATCTTCGCTCAAATTGGACACTGGATTGTGGATCGATCGATGTGTGTATCGGATCGGTAGGGGGGGAGGTATGGATGGAGTTTAGATTTAGGAAACACCAGACATAAAACCGTTTAAGGCTTTAGATTTCAACACATTTTTATACACAAAACACAAGAAAAGAAGCGCAAACTGAACCGAAACTTAAACGAAAATCAATCGGAATAGCAAATATTTACCATAAATAAGTTTTAAAATATTTAGAAATAATATCAAAAACAATAAAGATTGTTATTGTCTTATGTTAACGCGAATAAACACTTTGTAAACACAATATTCCATATAGAAAATATAAAAAACTCTAGACACACAAGGAACCCAATAAAAATAACAAAACAAAGATCCGAAAACACTCGAAATAATAAAAATATATGCCATAAAAATAGAAATCTATTCCTTTGGTAACTCTAATACTCCCTCTGTAGACACAAAATATTGTTAGAACACAACCAAAAAATCACCAAAAATTCAAAACAAATTCTCAGAGTCACAAATTAATAAAAGTAAAGCCACCAAAAATGATCAGAAATCTCTTATTAATGAAACTCACTCTATAAACACAATAAATCACACATTAAACCACCAAAAGCATCATAAAAATGAATAATAAATAGAATAGAATAACAAAAAAAAATATATAAAATCAAAGCGAATATTTAGTTTGTCAAGATTTGGTGGTCATATAAACATTTTGTGGTTGTTTTTGGTTTAGTTAAAGTTGTTGCAGTTCGTTGTGGATAGATTGTTGTTCGTTGGGGGCGATAGATTGTTGTTCGTGTTATATTCGTGAAGATTGAAAGAAGAGAGCACACAAACATCATTGTAGTTGTTATCACATTTTGATTGTTCATTTTCATACAATTTTTGGTGTTTCAACGGCACAAAAAGTCTTAACAGGGGGGAACAATTGGCTAAAAAAAACAGCCTGAAAAAAGCACAACTGCAAAAAACACATTCCGCTGTTTTTTCGCTCTAAAGAAAACACAGCTTCAAAAAACACACGCACTCAAAAAGAGAGAGAGATCAGGGAAAAATACAGGCGAAAGCTTCAGTGAAGTTTTCATGTTTTAATGGGTTGAAAGGGGGTGGGAACAGCAGAGCGGGGGGGGGGGGGCAAGGCAATACAAATAAAAAGTTGTTATCAAAAATTGGCAATACAAACATTAGGCAAATATATAGAACTTTTAGTACATATAGAGAGAGAAAGAGAGAGAGAGAGAGATAGAAAAAGAGTTGATTTGAAATGTGAGGGAACGATAGAGATATTTGGCTGATTGATTGTTTGATTGATAGACTGACTGACTGACTGACTGAATGAGTGGTGCTTCTGCTGTTGTTTGCAAAAAAGTTGAAGGGTGGGGCAGACACCAAAAAGTGTACGATGGGGAATGTACATATATGTATGTGCGTGTTTTGTGGAATAGTGTAGTACGAGACGAGTGTAGCGGTGGGTTCTGTGCTTCAGGTGTGTGCTGGACCCATGAGGGGTCTACCGAGGAGTTTCCACTAGCATCGTTGCTCCCATAAGCGAAAGGCTATATTCGCCAGAAGCCATTTGGGATGTTTAAACGATGAATACCAACAAAAATCACTGATTTAATGCTTGAAAATAAAAAAAATACTTTAATTTTTTTGAAAACTACTCAAATATTTTTCAACTTAAATATTTGAAAGAATATTGAAGGGTATTCAATCCCAAGTACGCTAATATGAATGGAAATGTGCTTCAAATGGATCCAATGTATAGCACGAAATTGTGGGACGAGTGTACGACCGTGTAGGGGGAGCAGTGTAGCAGTGTGTGTTTGTGCGTCAGAGTTTTAAAGTTCAGGTGGGTGTAGCAGTGTGTGTGTGTGTGTGTGTGAGGGGTTTTATAGAGAAAAGAAACTAAAAATAAAACCAGAAATACAACTAAAATCCAATACAAAAGGGCAATCGAATCGAGTAGCCCCAATCTACACACCAATTAAAGTTGCAATCAATTGGAAAAATGGGGCTGAAAATGCAAGGGAAAATGGGGCATGGAGCATGGGGGGAGGTGAAAAAATGATAGAAACAGCAGCAGGGAAAGCAACAAATAAAATCAGAGTCCGTAAGTGCAGCAGCAGCAGCAACAAACTGGTGCATGCAACACAAACTTTATAATGGGGCACAAAAATCTCTACACAAAAAAAAAACAAAAAACAAATAAAATAAAATGGAATAAAATACGGAAATACAATAAAGAAAGAAACGGCAGGCAACAACAACAAATAGACAGAATATGCAACATTCTGTGGCAGGCAGTTGGCACACCTGGAAATACGCTCAATGGCTGCAGCACTTGGGTGGAACGCAGTGGCGGTGGTAGCGGTGGCAGCTGTCCAAACGGATCTTGATCGTTCGAAATGGAAGACGTCGGCGGTGAGATGATCATCGATGATATGTCACCAATGGTCGCCATGTCATTGATCTGGCAGGCTTTTCCACAGAACAGAAGAGAAGAGGAGAGAGAAATTATCGTTAATATAGAGAGAGAGAGAGAGAGAGAATGTTACAGAGAGATACAGAGCAAGAGAGAGAGAGATGTGGTCTTTGGGGATGCTTAAAAACTATGGTTTATTGTGCGTTTGGGGTTGCCGTTGCCCCAAAAGGGACCACCAGGAGCATGGAGCATGGAAAAGCTTTTAATTCCGAAAAATGAGACGTGGAGAAAGGGTAAGAAAAAGGGGAAGGCAAAGGCAAATGGTAAAGGCAAATGGTAAAAAGGTATGTGCGGCAGTGCGGGCGCCATATTTCGCACATAAATTGTGTGCCACACGGGGGCTTGGTAGGGGGGGGCTGGGTCCAGGTCCGAGTCCAAGGATGGGCGTTGCATGCATCGCTGCATACACAAAAGCAACGCCTCGACAAACACACAGCAAGAGTAGAGACGCAGAGAAGTACAGAAAAGCCTGGAGAAAACTCTGGAAAAACGAAGAAAACCTAGGCGAAAAGGAAAACCCATGCATACCCACATACATATGTACATATGTATGTGTATGTGTATGGCTAAGTGTATGTGGTGCGTGCCTCTGAATAAAATAGATTTTTGCATTTTGGTTCGAAAGGAGGCACCGCAGCGGCAGCAGGAGCAGCAGCAGCAGCGGAAGGACCGAAAGACATTCCGCTATGCACCCTGTTGTGGCACGCTGCGTGCTACATGCCGCACAAGGTGCCAAAGGTGAGCTTCCATTAAAGACAGCAGCGGAGGATCAATCAAAGCTCAATAAAAGGTTGCCCAATCGAAGGGAAGCCTCAAATGTGATGCCATTTTCCTTCCATTTGCCTTCCGTTTTCCCCTTCTTTTTGTATCCCACTTAAAAAATGCTTCGCTGGCTGTGCGATAAATGTGTGTTCCATGCCCCAATGGCCACTCCTTCCCGCTGCTCCATGTTCTTGTGGTTCTTCCTTTATTCCTGCTGCTGCCCCTAGCACTAACACACGTGCAACAGCAGCAGCAGCAGCAGCTGCCTTTTTATACCGTTCAACCGTTTCAGAAAGTGGGTTGCGGGGCGCTGGGAATATTTTGAATTTTTATTATTTGCAATTTGCGTTAATGTTGTGGAAAAAACAAGCATGTGGCAAGGTGGCAAGGTGGCAGGAGAAGCAAAAGCAGAAGGCGCCCTGCTATGGCTTTGGCTTTGGCTTTCGGCTATTGGTATGTCCCCCCCCCACCCCCTACTACCACGCTCTTCTACTCTTTCCCTCTCTTGTGGCTTCCCATTGAATGGCCATTTGTGTCACACACACATACAGTGAGTATTTGGCCACTGTGTGTGTGTGTGTGTGTGTGTGCATACACGCATACACTAATGACCTTTTCATGGCCGCCATCTCTCGCCCCCCAAGTGCGCCACTGCCTCAGCAGCCCTGTCGATGAATGCAAGAAATGTGATGGCAAATTATGGGCCTCTTCTCTGCCACGAAACGGAGGAAGAGCTGAATCCCCTCCTGCCACATCCTTTCACTCCGTAGGCACATCCCTTGGCCACATTTACGGCCACATCCCTACGGCCTGCGAGTGTATCCTCGTCAGAAGCGAGCCTCAGCCTCAGCCCCATCATCGTCGTCTGTAGTTGTCTCCCCCTTTTACTCCCACCGAGTACGAGTATATTGACAAAATGATTTGTAAACATTTTTCGCATCATTAGTTCTGCTGCGGCGGCGACGGCGGCGGCTGCTCCTCTGTAATTCCAGCAGATCCCTAGCGCCTGTTCGCCCACCCCTGTACATGGCATGGGGCAGGGGCATGCGGTGGTGGTGGTGCATCATTTCCCTTTTGGCATTTAAGCGATTAAAATCCGTGCATGCATCATGCGCCCCATCTGCCCATGAATGCCACTTTCTTTGCTCTGAGGGATGCCTCCGCTTCTCTCCCTCTCTCTCTCTATGTGGAATGGGTGTTCATGCAGCCACCTCCTTTGCCCATGTGGGATGTCCATGGCCCCTACACTTACACCTGCTTTTGGATGGAGGATTGCTGACGCCGCAGCAGCAGCAAAAGCAGAGCAGGATGAAGATAAAAATAAACTGCTTCCGGCTTCAATTGCATCAATGAGGATGGACGACGACGACATGGAGTTGCCTTCGGAAGTGGTGGGGGAGGAGGAGGAGGAGTAGGAGTAGAAAGACACCACACGACAGACAGCAAGGGACAGAGGGAGATGCAAGAGATGCAGGATGCAGAGGCTTTGGCAGCAAATATTTGCTTAAATTTGTGCTGAGGTTAAGCTTTTTGTTTGCCTTTGCAGCAGCAGCAGCGGCGGAGGGGTGAGGAGAGGAGAGGAGACAAGAGAAATAGAGGGAAGAAAAGTAAAGGGAAGAGAAGAGAAGTAGTGGAAGGCAGGAGGACAAGGGAAGAGGCCAAACTAAAGTTGATGACATCTCCCCAATGGCCTCTGTCCACAGCGCAAGGTAGATTCAATAAAGGGTTGGACACACAGGTCCCTGCTCTTGGGACACCCAAATACGTGCACTTAAAGTGAGAATAAAGATCTCTTGGGATCCTTTAGATACGATATATCCATGGAAAAAGCTTGAGATTTATCTTCAAGGAATTTTCAATCGATTGTCAAACATTTCTAGAAAGTTTTCAACTAATAGAAATATGTTCTTATATCAAGAAATATCTTCATAAATTTGCTAAGAGAATTCCAACATCTCTAGCTTATTTTTAGTCCACTCCAAAAAGTCTAAATAGTCTGCTTCTGCCCTACCCTTCCATTGTCATGTGCCTTGCACTACAATTGCGTCTGGGGGGCAGCCGTTGCGTCCGCTCGGATGCTTCGTTTGGCTTTGGCCCTGTCTCTTGTCGCTTGTCTCGTGGTCTGGCTGGTGGTCGGTCTGCTTCTGCTTCTACTTCTGCTTCTGGCCTCAAATGATGCCCCGTGTCCCTGCCCCACCAATCATTATTTCTGCTCCTGACATAGAAAAATAGTTGCTGGGGCAAGGGGCAAGGCGCAGGGGGCAGCTGCTGGTGCTACTTCTGCGTTTTGACTGCATGCCAAGGCTGAATGAAAGCCTGAGAGATGGAGAGACGGACTCCACACTGACGATGCTGCTGCTGCTGCTGCTGCTGCTGCTGCTGATGACGCAAGCAGTCAGCCATGTGGCAGTGTGTGTGTGTGTGTGGCAAGTGCATAGAGCAGTTTATTCACATGTGGCACTGTCTGTGTGTGTGTGTGTGTGTGTGTGTGTTGCAAGGCTCTTTCTGTTCACTCTGACTTTGAGGCTCCTTCTTGGCCATTGACAAAATACAAAAAAAGTTTTGCCTTGCGTCTTGTGCCTCGTGCCTCGTGCTGCTGCTGCTGCTTCTTGTTGTTGGGGAGCGGCAAGTTATGAAAAGTGGCCTCCAATCTTGTGCATGTTTGCGGTTGCATGCACCACACTCCCACACTGTACCCCTGTCTCCCCCTTGACCACTGGAAACATTATGCAATCCCCAGACTTCATTTTGGCTCCCATTGATGGCCGTTTTCCTTTGGCATTTCCCATTTTCCTTTTGTCTCGACAGCGAAATCAAATCATCGTCCGGGGGAAAATTGAAAACTTATTAATTCATGAGGGGCCGTCCGCCGTCCGCCTAATCAGAAGAGTCCTTGATGTCGTCCCTTCGTGTCCTCGAAGAACGGGAATAAAATTTAAAATTCAATTAACCGCAAAAACAAAGGGCGGGGGGGCGGCTGTGATGGCAGGGGAAAACAATGCGTTTTCCGGAATATTTTCCCACCTCTCACTGCCTCTGGGGCATTGCCCAATCGCATGCATGTGCATTCCACCTCACACGCTTTTCCGCCCATGAAAAGCCGTTTAATGCGGCCATTTAAAGGAGGCTTTTGTTTTGAGCTAAATGCTTTAATCAATGATTAAATGATTGATTAAATGCAAAATAAAAGAGCCTGCCTCAAACACAAACACACACATTGCATTGATGCATTCACACACACACAGATACACACACACACACAGATACACCTTCATTGCAGTATCTCCATCGTAGTTTCTATTGTTGCATGTTCATTAATAGGCTTTTGTCTCTGCTCACCGCAGAATATTATTGCTGCTTAAATGCACTTGAATACTTGAATATGTGCAGCAGCATTCATTGTGTATCTGATCTGCCCCTCCACCTTCCTCCCTCCCACTGTCCCTCCCTTCATTCGATGGATACTTTCATCAGGTTTGCTCAACCAAATATTGAGTGTCGAAGGGATGGGCTCTGCTGTGTGTGGATAAGCCCTGTGTTTGGGACAAGCACTTGACAATCAGCTCTCAACTCAATGGCAACAGCATGCCACAACAGAAGCAACATCAATAGAAGCAACAGCACAGCATTAGAGGAAGCAGCAGAAGCAGCAGCAGCAGCCTCTGCTCTGGATAGAGCCCCAAAAGTGATAAACACCCCAAGAGGATTCCCACAAGGATTGCCACAGGGATTGCCACCCACACACAGTGGGGCACAAACCCATTGCACCTAGCCACTATTGCTGCATAGAAAAGTCCCAGCAAATCGAGGAAAACCAACTGGCAGATGGAGTCCTGCATTTTCACATCTTTTACTCTTTCAAAAGTTTGGAAATTTCCCACCATTTATGGGGAACTTCCCTCAGAACTGGATTTAAGCCATTGAATCTTCCATTGGAGTCGTCCCACTGTGGCTACTCTTATCGTTTGGGGCTTGTGTCTATGTCGCCCCGCTCCCTTCTGCCAGAGAGTATTGACAATGCGGGCAGCTGTTAAGACAACAGTTGCTCCAGCCTCTCCTTCGAGGCATCTCCTCGTCCTTCTGCAGAGGCGTTGTCTCTCTTCCTCCATTCTCGCATCTTCGATGCCCTTCCATTGTTTTCTCTGCCTCCCACGCATCCCCTTGATGCCAGCCCAAAGTTTGCCTCGTAGATTATCGCCTGTGTTTATTTGTCCACACATTTGCGCCACATGCCACACATGCCACACATGCCCCACATGCTGCATGCCTTTCCACCTTTCCCAAGGGCTCCCAGTTCATGGGGCGTATGATTAATATGATTGCCCAGCCGCAAAGTCAAGCTGCAACATGCAGCAGGCAGCAGGCAATCCATCCATCAATGCATCACCGTGAACTTCTTTAACGATCTCACATTAAAATCACTTTTCCCCGCACGAAACAACGCGAAAGCGAGAACTTAATGCATGAAATATTACGCATACGCATCCGGACATGGATATGCGGCATATGCAACATTAAGAGTGATGTGTGGCACTTAAATCTTTATAAGTTTTTGGTGGGGCAACAAAAGAAAGAAAGTGGAAGAGAGCGAAAGAGCGACTTACGTTTATCCATAGGAAATCCATTTCGGGGGCAAAGAGCTGGCGAATTATCCTTGCGTTATCCTCCGCCTCAGATGCTGTTGTTGCTGTTGCTGCTTATGTGGCAGGGAATCCTTCTACGGTTGCAAGGCTCCACCTCTTGCCTCGCTCTCTCTCTCTCTCTCTCTCCTTTCTAGCAGCAGTTCTGGCAAATGTTAAAAACTGCTAGAAAATATTCATTTTTAATGCCATAAATTAATTTTTCCGTTTGCCGTTGCACCGTGGACCGTGCACCGTGGACCGTGCAGCGTGCAGCCACCAGGTGGGCGGGGTGTGTGTGTGTGGGGGGCAGAGGGAGCTGCAAAGAGAGTAGAAAAAAAACTCATTGAGTAAAAGTAGAAAACTGAGGAGGCAAAGCAGAAGGTAAAAGTGGCAGAAGACTCAGCGTGGAAAAGTGGAGTCAAAAGTGAATCCTTTGTGTGTTTTCCCCCCTGTAAGAAGGTTCTCACCGCTCTCTCACGCTCTCTCTCTCACTCACTCTCTGGCTCTTCCGCTTTAAAGTTTTACTGTGTTTTTAAAGTTAATATATCCGATTAGCCAGCCACTAATCGCTTGCTTCCATTAGCTTTTCTCCTGCCCATCTCTCTCTCCCTCTCTCTTCTCGCTCTTCTTCTGCTCTCTTTTGTTGTGGTTTTAATCGCACTTTAAACTCTTCTCCACTGTGCAAAAAAACTTTGTGTAGATGCCAGCATTAAATTGAGTCGCTTTTCAGACTGTGAAAGTTGCGTTAGCAGATCATCGCTACATCGTTTACTGTTACTCCCCTCTTTACTGTCTGCCACTGCTCCGCTGATGTGTGGCTGCCCTGCCACAGCGAGTGTCTCTCTCCTGCGTCCCCACAGACAGGTGTGTATGGCTGCTGGTGCTGCTGCCCCCCCCACCAACACTGCTGCTAAAAGTCAAATTAAATTCTATTTTTAGGGACGCCACCGAAATGTACACCAAAAAGGATAGGTTCAGAGCCAGCAACATTCATCTATCCATCCATCCATTCTTCATCCATCTATCCTTCATCCTTTCCACCATTCCATATCCATCCCTTCTATCCCTTCATTCCTTGGCTTCCATCCCTTTCATAGTTTCGTTAATTACTCCATGAATTTGATAGTTTTCCACATGCCACACATGCCTCACACGCCACTGCCTCCTTCTCCGCCTGTGGCGCTTCCTCTGATGGAAATGAATATGCAAATGTGGCTAAAATCAAGGGAAAATGTTTAGGGGGAAATGTCTAATATGTGCGAGATGAAATATACGTTTGGAAAATGTACAAGTCGAAAGCTAGAATATCAAATTGGGGGGCATGCCACAGTCATGGATGCCAATTAGAATCTGATTATCTTCAGATGGCAGCGAGAGGAGGCGGCAGGCCGGCAGCAGCAGCAGCAATAAGGGGCAGCATCAAGAGGCATCAGATGGCAGCAGCGACGAGGCTCTGAGGATCTGAGCAGTGGAATGCAAGCGGAATGCAAAGAAAATGCTTTGCCTCGTGGAAATGAACTGGAAAATTGCATGTGGAATGGAAGAGAGAATGCAGTGCAGAGGGGAGCAAGGGGAAAACCGGAAATACTATAATTTCTCAGTCTCTATTTCTCGCAGTGTACAACGGCTAGAGAAATGGGGCTAATGATGCGCATAATGTGGTGCTGGTTGCGGTCCTCCTTTCGCTCTCTCTCTCTCTCTCTCTATCATTGGCATTGTCCTCGCGCGCGCGTCTTTATCCGTCTCCATCAGCCTGCGTCAGCAGTGTGCCACAGCCACAGCCAACAGCCAACAGCCTCAACTTCATCTTCATCTAAGGGATCTGCATCGTTGCACCCGCCTCCTGCCACTGCCACTGCCTCTGCTGTTGCTGTTGCAAGTTGAAATTAATATTAATCGCAGCAGCAAATGCATTAAAGCCGCTTTTAGATCCCTTTTGTTGCATATTTATTACGTTTTTGTGGCGCGTTATTAAAAGTGCCACCACTGCCACACAGCCTGCCCCACAATTTGTAATCATTAGGGGCAACTCTCTCTCTCCTTGGCTGGCTGGGGATACTTTTGGGGCATGGCAAAGACAGCAGACAGCAGACAGGCTGACAAAAAGTCTGTGACATTTTAGCCGCAAAAACTTAATAGCCATGCAAATCGTATGCAAATTTCAGAGAAACAGAGAAAGAGAGAGCAAGAGAGAGAGAGAGGGTAAGAAGGGAGTGACAAGACAGGGAAGGAGAGAGAGAGATAGTGTGGCACCAGTGCCATTTTGCACATTTAACGTCACTTCGTCATCCATTCTGCATTCTCCTGCACTCCTCTGCCTCCTGCCACTGCCTCTCTTTCCAGTTTCCAGTTGTCGTGCCACAATTTAAGTGGCAACTTGACTAAATTAATACGACACTGACACTGCCACTCCGACTCCAACTCCCACTCCCACTCCGACTCCCACTGCAGCAGTGCAAAGTGCAAGTGCAGCAAGTGGCCCTGGACGCTTGTCTCCTGTCTTTTTGTTCCCCCTCCCCATTGCCCACTGCCTCTCCCACACAACTTTTTGGCCAACAAAATATGAATAATTATTCATGCATTCATGTTGCATGCCACCCAACCCCCGTCATGCCACTCCACTTGCCTCGGAAAGTCTTTAAGGTTCCTTTCTCTCCATAGAATATTCTCTAAACTTTCTGCTGCAGCGGGATAGGAAGGGGCAGGGGCATGGACATGCCTGCCTCCTCGCCCATTCATCACACACCCGTGTGGGTGTGTGGGTGCGTGTGGTCGGTCTCCTCTTGGTCTGTCAATTGCCTTAAATGCAATTTAATTTTCCACCTCATGATGCAAGTTCTTCAATGGCAAGGCACTCCACCTCCACACTCAGTCCCACTCCCACTCGCACTCCAAGTCCCTCGCCTCCCTTGTGCACCACAACAGCAGCAGCTGAAAATCCTTGCATGAAAACTCTTTTTCTATGCAACCTTCTGCCACTCTTCCACACCCTTCCCCGTCCCCGTCCACCGTTCCATGCCGACCCATCCCATATCCCCCCCAGTGTCGCACTTTGACTCGCAGTTTTGTGGCCAGGGCTATGGCTATAGCCCATAAGGCAATTTCTATCACAGCATCCCCTACATGCCACATGCCACTTGCCACACATCACCCTCCCCTACCCGCCCCACCCCGCTGCCATCCCTCTATGTTGTGGCACTCATAAGCCGCCTTGAATGGGTAAATGTCAAAGTTACTCCTTGGCGTAACATTCGACACATTCAGCAGGCAGGAGGCAGAAGGCAGAAGGCCGAAGGAGTCGTAGCTGTGTGTGTGTGGGGTCCTTCTGCTGCTTCCATCCTGGATCCTGGGGATTACATTACACTAAGTTCTGTGCAAACACCAGAGTTGGTTCCTCCGTTTCGTTCCGTTCCGTTCCTGCAGTTCATTAACATGTTACACGGACACAGACTACGGACACAGACTACGGACACGGACACAGACACGGGCACGGACTACGGAGTTCGAGTCGAGTTGAGTCGAGTCGAGTCGCTGGCGAGACTTGGGCTTTCGTTTGCACTCCACTCCACTCCGCTCCAATCTCTCCACGTTTTTGTTTGTCTGTGGAAATGTATGCCTATGCCTATGCCTCCCCGCTCCACTCCACTCCACTCCACTCCCCCCACCCAGTGTCTATCTCTGTGTGTGCCTCTTCTATGTCTCTGCTTCTGCTTCTGGCTCTCCCTTTGAATCTGTCGGTTGTACGCATACATTCATATGTATGTATGTATGTATGCTTTATGCCTTTTTCCCAATGCGGAAGTATAGTTCCCATCTCCTGCCACCCAGCCCCACTGCTCCACTGCATCCTGGAGCTTCCTTCCACTTCAAACTGAAGCGAAGGTTCAGTTCTCCCTTTCAGACACATTTAGAGGTGGCTTTCCCCCACCCATCTAATCTCCGCATTTAAATATAAAGCATAAATAATTAACAGCGAACGTAGCTCGAATTCTGGCTTTTACGAATGGAAATTAAACTCCAAGAGGCGAGTGTGTGTGTGTGTGTGTGGTGGGGGGGATACCTCTTTCCCCCTAATTAGGGGACAAGCTTTTAGGGGCTGATCATCATCATCATTTGCAGCAGCAGCAGCAGCCCCTCCAGCCCTGGCCCTGGCCCCGGACTATTCTCCAGTTAATTTTGCACTTTTTAATGCATTTTCCACTTGTGGCAAATGTTTGAGGATGAAAAACCCGAAAATACGGCAAAGCCCTGACCGAAAATTTCATTTGTTACCCTCTGGGGATAAGGCGAGAGGGGGTTGCACATGCAACCAACAGCAGCAGCAGCAGCAGCCGGTGCATACTTTGCGGCACAAAACAGAACCTAGAGAACCCCAGAGGCAACAGCAGCAGCAACAGCAGCAGCAACAGCAGCAGCAACAGCAACAGCCACCACAGTAGTAGGAGCAGCAGCAGCAGCCTTTGGTTTGCCTACCCCCCCACCAGTACCCCGTACCCTGTACTCGTATATGTTGCACGTCAATGAGTTCCCGAAACAAAACCCCAAAAACACAACTTGCACCAAACACACAGAACGAGAAGGGGAAAGAAGTGGGGGCAGAGTGAGAGAGAGAGAGGGGGAGATGCATATGCAGGAAGCAGGAACGCCACTGCGTCCTATGGCCGAGAGGCCGTTCCGTAAAACTTGCAATTCGTTTTAATGAATCCATCCTACAGGCCACACATCCACATCCCTACCATGGGGATCCATCCACAGAACCGCATGCCACATGCCACAGCCCATGCAGGCCACACAGGGGGGATGGCATGCGGCACTCTCCCTCTTCCACGCTCTCTGGGTTGGGAGTGAGAGAGGGAGAGAAAACTGATTGTATCAACTTCCTAAGTGGATTTTGCAGTCCAACTGGCATTAAGCTCTTGGCCGCAGGTAATTTCGTATGAATGAAAAGCAAAAGTCCCTCCCCTCCGCCCAGACTCCTCTCTCTCTCTCTCTGGCTTTGTCTCATCCTCTGCCTTGTTTCGTATTGGTATTCTGCAGTTGTTTTCTTGCACTGCAGTTTTGTTATTTTGTTGTCGGGCGACAAGCGAAGAAGGAACGGAAAGAACCCAGGGAGCCGCTGTCCAATCACTCGGATTTGCCTACAGTGGAAATCATCAGGGAATTCCACCAACCACTCTGCCCTCACCTCTCTCTCTCTCTCTGTGGTTCCTGCATAGATTAAGTTCTTTCATTATATAGAGAGACTCCACTGTAGTGACAGGCAGCCAGGCAGCCCTCAGTCCCACTCCCCTCCCAGCCTATGCATATGAGCACAGGGACCAGCACTCACATTTCATGCCATTCCATTCCTGAGGTTCCTCTGGTCGCGAGTTCCGTTGCTTTTCCCTGCTCCCCCTTTTCCTCTTTCCGAGCAGTGCTGCTGCTATGACATTGTCTTTCAATAAACATTCATTTCTATGATGGCCATTCCCATAAAGAGAAAACAGAGAGCAAGAGGAAAAGAGTAACGTAACAGAGAGGGTGGTGGAGGCAGTGGGATGGCAGGTGGAACAGCACGGCACGGCACAGCACAGCACTGGGAATCCTTCCGTTATGATTTTTGTTTGCTTGTCGAAACTTTGGCTCTTCCTTTCAGCTGCTCTTTCGCCCACTCTTCGTTCTGTGGCTTTTCGCACTCATGAATTTTTAAGAGTGCCTCCCCCACTACACTCTCCCCCCACTTTGCAGTTGGCAGCCAACTAACACCAAGTCCCGGACAAGGCTTTCCTCTACCACCCACCCTCCTCCCTGCTCTGTTGAGCAAAAGTTGAAATAGTTTCCAATGCAATTTTGATGATTCGATGTTTCGAGAAATAGCGAAGAGAGAGAGAGAGAGAGAGAGGAAAGTGTATTGCCAGGTGCCATAAGCAGAAATATTGCTCTGATAGACAGAGGGAATATTTGAATGGGGGTCTTTTGGCCAAAATGGGGAAAACGTTGTCAAGCCAACCGGCTGGCTGCTCACTCTGCTGCAGTGTGTGCCGTACCGTGCCCGCCTGCCTGGTGGCAGCAATCTTTGTGGGAGTCACATCAAATTCTAACAGCACAATTTCCGCTCTCAATTCCAATTTCACATCAGCTCAAATTTCTATTTCATTACGCATTAAATATGAAAACAGACAGAGTGCTGCTGCTGCACTTGCCATATGTCAAGTAATTCCATAAAAATAATACAGTTGAGTGAAAAGTGATACCGAGTGCCTGTGCTGTGCTGTTCTGTGCTCTGCTGTGTGCATCGTAATTGGTTTACCTATAAATGTTTATGGAGTTTGCTAAGTCGCGTGGAAGTGCCATAAAAATCATAAACACTCCCACACACACAGCTAAATAAACACTAAAGAGAAACAGCATCACAAATAAAAAGAGCACGAGCAAAAAAGATCGAGAGAGAGAGAGAGCGAGAGTGAGAATAAAAACATCATAGTTGTAATCACTGCCGAATTATGAGCAAAAAGCGATTGAAAAAACGAGTACCGGTATGTGCAAGGTATATTTCAGACAAGGTGAGGCCTGACCAGATAGCTACCTAATAATGGTTGCCTGTTTTCGGATGCAGCACAACAAATCCACTGGCGTACAAATTTTGGTCCCTACAGCAAGAGCTCCATCTCTCCAAGACACACCCTTAACAAATATACGCTGTGCATGTAATGTAGCTGTTGTTGGCTGTTTCATGTGTTTGCACTCTCTTGCAATTCATCTTTTTTTTTGTTGTCTTTCGTTTTGCCGGCTGACGAAGCTGACGAAGGTTTTAATTGAGTTGAGCTCGTCGTGTCGCTCTTCTCTCATTGTGCGATGCTGTCTGCTCTCTTTTTTTCTTTTTCTGATGCTGCTGCTGCTGGTGCTGGGTGCATCGTGATTTTCCTTTTTTTCGTTTTTCTTGTTAATTAATTTAAAATGCAATTGTTTTTAAGCGTTGAACACATCATCGCGCAAACTTGTTGCAATTTTCGTTTATTGCTTTATCTTGTCAAGTGCCGCCACCGCACTCTCGCGTGGCACTTTCTCTCTCCCTCGTCCAATGCGCTCTGTCATGTTGACAAGTGCGTGAGAGCGAGATGGGGGCAGCGCTAAAGATTAATGCGTGCGAGTGAAAGAGGGTACACAAATTCTGTTTGCCTTGCGCTTACCTTTTTGTTTTGTTTACGCGGCTGTTCTCTCTTATATTAATTTATGCTTTAAATATACTGAAGTGGAACGTGCAGATAACCACAGCGTTAATTAATTTATTGATGCAGGCGATTAAGCCACCAAAAATTGGACTGTAATGCTCGTGTATTTGGAACGGAACGTTCTTTACTACTATTGCACTTGAGAAACACGAGCGTAAAGCGATTAGCACCCTCTGACGCGACTGATAACGAAGGAACGAAAGAACGAAGGAACGCAACGCAACGGACAAGAGCAATAACTAACGGAACACGTTAACAATAGCTAATTAAAGAAAGACGTTTTTACACTTGTACGATACGGGCAATTGTACCGGCAAACACGGACGCGACCACAACACGACACGACAACGGGGCTGACGACTGACGGTGTTGAAGCGCGCAATAGAACTGTGGAGAGGCAGAATTAAAGTCGAGAGTGGAGAGTGAGAACCTACGCGTAGAGTTAAGGCAGAGACACAGACAGAACGAGCGAGAAGAGTGAGAGAGAGCAGGAGTAAGAGAGAGAGCCATTAAACTGTAAAACCTGCCCGACCAGAGTTTTGTTATTGATATGCTCACAAGATGATGATGAGTGAGCGAGTGAGTGAGGGAGATGCAGGGCGAACAATGGAATACTCTGTTCAGGGAAGGAAGGGAATATGCAATTGGCATGCTCTTTCCAGCTGTTTTGGCTGGCATAAATAACTGGAAGTAAATGATCCAAATGTTCTGGCAGGCATAACTCTACATAACTCGGGGGGGGGGCTGTAGGCATCGCAGCTTCGAAAGCTATAACTTTTTGGAATCGTTAAAATTATCATAAATTAATGATTAGTTTATTTTAGGGTCAATGTCCACTGAATTCAGTTCTATTGGCCTCTTTTCCCCAGGCAGCTCCATAAATTAACGTAGAGATATATCAAAGCTTTCAGGGCAGAGTACTTTAATGAGTGATGAGAGATAAGATAGGAATGTTCTCTCTGCCCTCTCCCCTGCCCCTTTCCGCACACCACTTTGCATACAACATGTTATTAACTCTCCCATGGCATTCCACGAGTGGGAGAACAAAACGAACTTGGATAAAACTGTGAAACAAGGCGAGCAACGAAAAGTGAACGCAAGGTTTACACTGGGATTTAACAGATCGACGACCCTGAAGGGGGCGCAAGGGAGGGCAAGTGGGCAAGTGGTGCACCCACGACACAGGCAACCAATTTCGATTTAGAGTGCCTCTGCATCCCATCCCCCCCTCTGTTGTACGGGACACACACACATTTATTATGTATCGAGCGACAAGCTACTTAATGTAATCGCATTTGTATCTGCAATTATACACGAGTACTCGAATCCTCGAATCCTCGAATCCTCCTGCTCGTACTCGTACTCGTACTCGCCCAGGGGCATCGGCAAGGGGCTTTGATTTTGATGCCAATGGCAATGCCGATGCCGCTGCCGATGCCTAAACAGATTCCGAATTGTGATTACGATTACGATTGTGGCCTGTTATCAGGCCTCAACAAGGGGCAAGAACAATGCCACACCTGAGTGGTGTGGTGTGGAGTGGTGTAGGGCTAGGGGTAGGGGTAGGTCGTGGAGAGGGCTTAATGCCTGTCGAGGGTGTGACGGCAATTAGTGTCGAGAAGTGTCGAGTGTCGATTATCTCAGGGTGCTGATACAGGGGGGGCTGGGGCTAAGCGTGCCTGCCCGCCTGCCTGGCTGCCTTGCTTCGAGAGTGTTTTGCGGTGATGAGACTTCGACAAGCAGACACGATACTCGTACACTGATAGCGGTTGCCGTTTGCCACTTGACTTGGCTAAGACTTGGCTACCGAAGCAGGAACAAGCATACACATGCACAATCTTTGATTTAAGTCTGAAAAATATCCCCCGAGGGAGAATTTTGTCATAGATTTTTGTATGGAAATTAAAACGGAATTAAATATTACTTAAAATAAATATTGTCACAGAAGTAGCTTTATATCTGTGTTAGCTCTGGCATAAAAGGCTTCATCGGCAATAGTATCTTTCGAAGCAATCAGCCACCAAAGCAGAACCTCCATCTCTTGTCCACATTTACACTCCCCTTGGAGCTGCGCTATGGTCCCATATTATCTAAGATTTAATCATTCTCTGCCGCCTACTTGCCAGACAGGAAAATTAAAACAAAAACCAGAACGAAGCCAAAGCAAAAATCACTTTTGCCTCTGCGCTCATTTATCTCAGTTCGGAGGAGACGACGAGGCTCAAACGTTTTCTAAGAATGAATACGCCTTGGAGTATACTCCGATTTCCATTTCCATTTCTGTTCCAACAGATTGTGTATATCTATGTCTCTCTTGATGTGTGAGTGTGTGTGTATGTTTGTGTGTGCTTTTGCAATTATTTATGCTGTTCATTTGTTCCACGGCCACGACAGCTGCACAAAGCATTGGAGCAATAAAAGGCAACGACAGCGACAGCGAGAGCGAGAGCGACGTCTCCAACGTTTGGACGTGGCCGAAGGGAACATATCATTTACATGCCACACCAGGCACTGCGGCCCCACTCCACACAGGCAGCAGCAGCAGCAGCCACAATGACGACGCCCCCGCACAATGGCCAAGGCGCAGGACCCGAATACTGGCCCTCCATCCCGCCCTTCCACCCCTCCCCCGATGAGATGTAAAGTTTAACACATAAACTCAAGACAATTTGTGCTCGTATGTGTAAGGAATAAGGCAAAAGGCAAATAATTTACAAGTTTCTGCAACCAAAAGAGTGAAGCTTGTGGGGGGGTGGGAGGGGGGGCTATAGGGGATACATGGTGGGCTGCGGAGGGGTGTGGCAGATAGCCAGCGTGTGGAACATGTGCAAATACAAAGAGCAGTCCGTGGACCCAAACAACTTTTTGCTGCTGCTGCTCCCTAAAGCTGCAACAACAGCAACTAAATGATAACCTTCCTTGGATACACTTCCAAAAAATAATAATTGTGTCTCTTAGGATTTTGATGAATGGGGGAAATGGGAGGGGGGAAATTATTGGCCACTGCTTGTTGAAGATTTGTTGGAAATATTTCCATTAAAAAATATATTTTATTTGGATTTTTCGTATGACTGATCTTAGAGGTTCAATTTCCCATACTGTATGCAGCAAAACGAAGGATCGTTTCTATAGGATATGGCTACAATAAAGTCTGCCCTGTCTGATCGTGGGATCACAGAGGATTTCTTTTGATTTCCTCTCCAAATCGTTATACTTCTCTGGAAAGCGCAAATACCAGACTCACATAGGCATACATACATGTATGTACAGTGTACACCCACCCACACACACACATGTGAATCTTAAAATGTGTTACAGGCCGCACAAAAGTGTAAAAATAAATAATTTAAAGTGTGTGTAAAGGACACGGGGCGGCGAAAAAACACATTGGAAGTCGCGCGCGGCCATTGCCATAAAGAGCGCACCAGCAGCGGAATGGAAGGTCCCGCATACACACGCACACGCACATACACATACACTCATACATACATATATGGGACACACACACATAAATACATACATACATATGTATGCATTTATGGGCCTGTAGTTGTTGTGCCTTGTGTCTGCCTGCTGCTCTGCTGTGTGTGCGTGTGCATAATATTTTTCCACCTCCTTCTGCTGCTGCTGCTGCTTCTCCCATTCTCTGCCTTTTGCGTTCCGTAAACTTTTGCGCTCAATACCACAACAAGAACAAGAACAACAACAGCAGAAAGCAGAGGAGGAGATGGTGGGATAGAGGAGCGATGCGGAGCGGAGCGGAGCAGCAGCTGCAGGTTTGGCCTTTGAAAGTGTTGTCCGCATAAACCAAAAGGGACAGAAAGGGAGAGAGAGGGTGCGAGCGAGAAAACTTATTATTATGTTGTCCGTAAAGAAAACCAACAACAATAGTGGCTATAAGAAAAAGCAGGAGAGAGAGGGAGGAACAGGGGGACAAAGAGGAGGCAGCAGGAGGCAGCAGGAGGCAGCAGGAGAACAAACAACAAAGAGGCCAACGCGTGCCAAAAGAAAAACCAGCAAGCAGCAATACCAAAAATTGGAAACAGAAACCCAGAAAGTCCATAGAAAAAGAACACCAGAGGCGTTGGGGGATCTCCAAGAAGGGATCTGAGAGGCGAGTAATAACTTTTAAGAGAACATTGGAAATTAAATGGAATTTCTAAAGGGAGTACCTTATCAGATCTGTGGACCTGAAGCTCTTGTTCTGGATTGTCTCATAAATGGATTGTATGCCATTTTGCATTACTTGAGGCTTTAATGATCAATGTCAATGATCTCGAAGGTCTGTCCAAGGCATAGCGGAAATAAACTGCATAATAGTCAAAGTTGCATTTAATTAATCTCATTTATTCATACAATGGGATGCCCAATAATCGAAGAGTCATCCCACCAGAGTGCACAAAAATCTGCGTGGAATAGCGTACAAATATTTCAGGATAATTGGGTAAAGAAAGAAAACTCTCAAGGCGTGGAAATCCCACTTCAATTTGTTCTCACTTCCATTAGTTCATTATGCAAAAATGTAAAGAAAAATCTGCAAAAGAATCTTCGAGGAATAGCAAAAGCATGCAGTGAAAAAAAAAGAAGAGCCTCTCCAACTCTTCTCCAATCTCTCAGCCCGATTGGCCACTTCACAATCTGCTTTCAGTTATCTTTCATCTGCTCTCAGTCCCTTTGCTTCTTTGCTCTGCTCCTCTCAGTCGCTGCGGCCGTATGCTAATATCAGTTTCAATAAAACTATTTGCTCAACTAGCGCCCAAACACCTTTCGCGCGGTGTCTGTGTCGCCACTCAGCCAATCAACCCTCTTGAAATGCGAAAAAAAATACCCTCTACTATTCCTCTTCCTTGCTGCAATCTGCGCCACTGAGTTTCCTTTCTTTTCATGCCACACCCCACTGCCTGCTCCTGCTCCTGTTCCGCTGCCTCTTTTTGGGGGCAGGCAGGCAGGCAGGGAAGAAGTCATAATTCATACAGAAAATACCAGAGCCAATATTTGTGCGTTGGCTTCTTTCATTTCTTGCGCTTCCTTGGCATTTTTTGCCTTTGCCTTTGCCTGGCTTTCTCTTTCTTTTATGCCACACAAAAAGGTGCGGAAAATGCAGAGCATTTTTCATCATTTACTGGAGCTGTGGCCGGGCCCGGGGCACTTGCAAGAACAGTATCCGACCGCCCCAGTGCTTATCAATATGCCCCCATCAGCAGGCAGCAGAGTGCCCCAGTGGCACTGCCAGTGGCTGCCCCATTAAAGCGCACAAATATGCGCAAATTCTCCAATTCTCCGATTCTCTGATACGCTCTTTGCAATAATATTGACCGCAACTTTTCGCCAGCTCTTCCTCTGCTGCTGCGGCTCCTGTAGTGGTGTTGTGGGGAGTGGGGAAGAGGTAAA